ATGTAATTTCTGGGGTTTCTAACAAAAAAAATTAGAAAGTCATAGAATTTTTGATGTTTTTTTTAGGAAATATGTTTGCATATTTGATTTAAGAATGATTTGGTGTATGTATCTTTTTTTAAGATTGACAATTTGCAGAATATTCGTCCAAATAGTTATCCTTTCTGTAATATTTTGAAAAAAAAATGTCCAAAAAGTTATCCTTTCTGACAATAAGGTACATTAAAACAACAAACATGGCCTTAATTAACTTTATTATTTGACATAGATGGTCCATTTACTGTGCAGAAGGGACAATTTGTTCAGCCAATATACACATTTTCAACATACATGTATATGAAAAAATGTGATTCATAAAGATATGTGTTTGTATATATATATTCTTTTTATATGTGCTTGTACATTTATATGTAAACTTGAATTTGTTTTGTCAGGATCTGTGTTCATGTATATAGATGTTTTGATATGTGTTTAAGACTGGCTTTATTATTGATATGTACGTGCTTGTATATAAATATGTATACTTGCATTTTTGTCAGGGTATGTCTTTGTATATAGATGTTATGATGTGTGTTAGAGACCGGCTTCATAAGTGATATATGCTTAAACATAAATATGTGTACTTGCATTTATTTTGTAATAATATATGTTTATATATAGATGTTTTGGTATGTGTTTAAAATCATAAAGCATAATTCTATCACCAAAATTATATTTTTTTTTAAAATTATACATTTTTTTTCATTAAACATACTACCATGTATTATAGGTATGCCCTCACAGGTATTTTAAGGCCCTTTGTGCCTCCCTAGGAAATATTTTAAGGTCTTTTGTGCCTCCCTAGCAGTCCTTTGCGCACCTGAGCAGTCCTTAGCGGTCCTGCACCTCATCGAAAGCATAAATTCTATCACAAAAATTATATTTTTTCTTACAATAATACATTTTTGTCTATTAACTTACTACCATATATTATAAGAATGTTCTAGGAGGAATTTTAAGGTCCTTTGTGCCTCCCTAGCAGTTGTTAGTGCACCTGAGCAGTCCTTAGCGGTCCGGCAACTCATCGAAAGCATAAATTCTATCACCAAAATTTTATTTTTTCTTAAAATTATACATTTTTTGTCACTAAACATACTACCATGTATTATAGGAATGCCCTCACAGGTATTTTAAGGTCCTTTGTGCCTCACTAGGAAATATTTTAAGGTGTTTTGTGCCTCCCTAGCAGTCCTTTGCGCACCTGAGCAGTCCTTAGCAGTCCTGCACCTCATCGAAAGCATAAATTCTATCACAAAAATTATAAATTTTTCTTACAATAATACATTTTTGTCTATTAACTTACTACCATATATGATAAGAATGTTCTAGGAGGGATTTTAAGGTCCTTTGTGCCTCCCTAGCAGTTGTTAGTGCACCTGAGCAGTCCTTAGCGGTCCGGCAACTCATCGAAAGCATAAATTCTATCACCAAAATTATATATTTCTTAAAATTATACATTTTTTGTCACTAAACATACTACCATGTATTACAGGAATGACCTCACAGGTAATTTAAGGTCCTTTGTGCCTCCCTAGGAAATATTTTAAGGTCTTTTGTGCCTCCCTAGCAGTCCTTTGCACACCTGAGCAGTCCTTAGCGGTCCGGCAACTCATCGAAAGCATAATTTTTTTTTAATTCTATCACAAAAATTATATTTTTTCTTACAATAATACATTTTTGTCTATTAACTTACTACTATATATGATAAGAATGTTCTAGGAGGGATTTTAAGGTCCTTTGTGCCTCCCTAGCAGTTGTTAGTGCACCTGAGCAGTCCTTAGCGGTGTAGCAACTCCTCGAAAACATAAATTTTATCATTAAAATTATATTTTTTCTTAACATAATACATTTTTTGTCACTAAACATACTACCATGTATTATAAAAATGCCCTAGGAGGTATTTTAAGGTCTTTTGTGCCTCCCTAGGAAATATTTTAAGGTCTTTTGGGCCTCCCTAGCAGTCCTTTGCGCACCTGAGCAGTCCTTAGCGGTCCGGCAACTCATCGAAAGCATAAATTCTATCACAAAAATTATATTTTTTCTTACAATAATACATTTTTGTCTGTTAACTTACTACCATATATTATAAGAATGTTCTAGGAGTAATTTTAAGGTCCTTTGTGCCTCCCTAGCAGTTGTTAGTGCACCTGAGCAGTCCTTAGCGGTCCAGCAACTCATCGAAAGCATAAATTCTATCACCAAAATTATATTTTTTCTTAAAATTATACATTTTTTGTCACTAAACATACTACCATGTATTATAGGTATGCCCTCACAGGTATTTTAAGGCCCTTTGTGCCTCCCTAGGAAATTTTTTAAGGTCTTTTGTGCCTCCCTAGCAGTCCTTTGCGCACCTGAGCAGTCCTTAGCAGTCCTGCACCTCATCGAAAGCATAAATTCTATCACAAATATTATAAATTTTTCTTACAATAAAACATTTTTGTCTATTAACTTACTACCATATATTATAAGAATGTTCTAGGAGGGATTTTAAGGTCCTTTGTGCCTCCCTAGCAGTTGTTAGTGCACCTGAGCAGTCCTTAGCGGTCTGGCAACTCATCGAAAGCATAAATTCTATCACCAAAATTATATTTTTTCTTAAAATTATACATTTTTTGTCACTAAACATACTACCATGTATTACAGGAATGACCTCACAGGTAATTTAAGGTCCTTTGTGCCTCCCTAGGAAATATTTTAAGGTCTTTTGTGCCTCCCTAGCAGTCCTTTGCACACCTAAGCAGTCCTTAGCGGTCCTGCAACTCATCGAAAGCATAATTTTTTTTTAATTCTATCACAAAAATTATATTTTTTCTTACAATAATACATTTTTGTCTATTAACTTACTACCATATATTATAAGAATGTTCTAGGAGGGATTTTAAGGTCCTTTGTGCCTCCCTAGCAGTTGTTAGTGCACCTGAGCAGTCCTTAGCGGTCCGGCAACTCTTCAAAAACATAAATTTTACCACTAAAATGATAATTTTTCTTAAAATAATACATTTTTTGTCACTAAACATACTAACTTGTATTATAAGAATGCCCTAACAGGTATTTTAAGGCCCTTTGTGCCTCCCTAGCAGTCTTTTGTGTATCTGAGCAGTCCTTAGCGGTCCGGCAACTCATCGAAAGCATAAATTCTATCACAAAAATTATATTTTTTCTTACAATAATACATTTTTGTCTATTAACTTACTACCATATATTATAAGAATGTTCTAGGAGGGATTTTAAGGTCCTTTGTGCCTCCCTAGCAGTTGTTAGTGCACCTGAGCAGTCCTTAGCGGTCCAGCAACTCTTCAAAAACATAAATTTTACCACTAAAATGATATTTTTTCTTAAAATAATACATTTTTTGTCACTAAACATACTACCTTGTATTACAAGAATGCCCTAGGAGGTATTTTAAGGTCCTTTGTGCCTCCCTAGCAGTCTTTTGTGTATCTGAGCAGTCCTTAGCGGTCCGGCAACTCATAAAATTTTCACCAAAATAATATTTTTTCTTAAAATTATAATTTTTTTTTCACTAAACATACTACCATATATTATAAGAATGCCCTAGGAGGTATTTTAAGGTCCTTTGTGCCTCCCTAGTAGTTCTTTGTGGCTCCTTAGCAGTCCTTAGCGGTCCTTAGCAGTCCTTAGCAGTGTTTAGTAGGACCGCTTTCCGTCAGTCTTAGCTAAAAATAGGCCCTTTCCGTCAGTCTTCGGATAAGGATAGATTATAGATAATAGCCGAGGCAGTTCCGAATGAAATAAGGTATGGTCAGTTACTAAAAATAGATACTACTGGAATTCCCAAAAATTGAAGTCCCGCGAGTTTTAATTTTAATTAAAATAAAAGCAGTTTTACAAACTCTACATATTTCCTAGCAAATAGTTGGGTACAGGATGTCATTAAAGTTTCATTAAAAAAACAAAAAAACAACACGAATTGATTCAAAATTGATTTGTTTATCAAATGATATTTTTATTTTACCCAAATTTGTTTACAGTACAGTAATAAGGGTGATTTTAATACCGGTAGTTATTAACTGACCGGTTATTTACAGACTACAGTACTTTACTGGAGTTGAGGTCGCAAGACGTCATCATCGTCTTCTATAACCCCCCCCCCCCCCATGGCTTTGTACCCAGTTCTGATCCGGTAAGGTGGTATACTGTGTTGCTCCCATGAATTTGTCTAACCACTTCTGGTAAATTGTTCCAGTCCGAGATAGCCCATAGAGAAAAGAAATGCTTTCTAATCTCAGTTCTACATGATTTCACTTTCAGTTTATACCCATGACCTGTTGTATTTGCATTGTTATTTAAATTCAAAAAACACTTCATAGTTAATATCCTCCTTATGATGTAACAATTTAAAAACTTCAATCATGTCACCTCTAAATCGACGATATGCTAGCGAAGGCAATTTCAGTGTTTTAAGTCGTTGTTCATATGACAGATCTCTTAGTTGACCAACTAGTTTTGTTGCATGTCTTTGTACTGATTCAATTGCATTGATGTCTTTCTTAAAACGAGGATTCCAAATAATGTTTCCATATTCTAGATGAGGCCTAACTAGGGTTTTAAATAATTTCCCGAAAGATTTCACTTTGAAATGCAGAAATGTTCTTCTCATTAGTCCTGTAATTTTATTTCCTTTATTGATGCAATCATTTATTTGCTGTCTAAATTTCATATTCACATCAAAAGTAACTCTACATGCAAGGTCTTTTACAGATTCACTGTTTGAAATTTCATTTCTGGTGTTGTTTACTTTAAGATGGTTGGTATTATTGACATTGTGATTTCCGTAGTGTAATGTAGTGCACTTGTTTGCGTTAAACTTAAGTAGCCACTTTTCACTCCATAAACTTAATTTGTCATTGTCAGATTGAATTTTCTCTATATCTGCATCATCATTCGCTAAATTGTACAGTTTTGTATCATCAGCAGATTTTTCACTATCAATTACAACCCTTTGTCTTCTATCCCGGAGAAAAGCTTCAATCCATTTTAATAATTTACCATTAATTCCATAACTTTCAAGTTTCTTCAATAATCTAGCATATGGAACAGTGTCAAACGCCTTTTGAAAATCATAATAAATACAATCAAAATTTTGACTATCGTCTATCCATTCCGTCCACTTTTCCATAACTTCCAGTAACTGTAGAGCACAAGATCTCAGTGTTCTGAATCCATATTGTGAATTTGAAAATAGATTGTTTTCAGTCATATGTTTCACTACTTGATCCCTTACCACCTTTCCCATAAGCTTACAGGGGACACAAGTCAAACTTACTGGGCGATAGTTTCCTGCCTGGTTTCTCTCCCCTTTCTTAAACAACGCTTTCACATTTGCCGTTTTCCAGTCAATCGGTGTTTCTTCTTCTTCAAAAGATTGATGAAATAAAAGAGTTAATGGTAAACATATTGCATCCTTAACTTCTTTCAGCACTCTAGGGTGTAAGAAATCAGGTCCACATGATTTAGTTACGTTAAGATTTTCAAGTAATTTCATGGTAATTTGCTCATTGAACTGTACTTCCAAGATACTTTTACCAGAACTTCTATCATTTATATATGGAATATTGTTCAAATCTTCAATAGTAAATACAGTCTTGAAAAACCTATTTAGTTCTTCAGTTTTTTCCAAGTCATTTTCCGTAATCGAACCATCGTCTCTCTTTAAGTCTGCTATTCCTGTTTGGACTTTTTTGCGAGAATTCACATGTTTGTAAAATGCTTTCTGATTTGTATCCTCTGCAATTTTTGTTTCAAAGTTATTTCTGGCTTTATGACATTCACGGGTAGCTATATTACGTTGACAACAAAAATATTGAAAGTGAACATGTTCATTTGTTTGTCTATATTTGTTCCATGCCCTATGTTTCTTTTTCACAGCTTTAAGAGCTTCTCTAGTCATCCAAATTGGTTTATTACCCCTATTTGATGACCTGATTTTCTTAACAGGAATATATATGTTTTTTCATTGATTCTGTTATTTTATCTTTGAAAAATATCCAATTTTCATTCACTTCTTTACCTTGAAATTCACTTATCCAATCAACATTACTCAAGTCAGTTTTCATTTCATGATAGTTTCCTCGATCATAAGTAAATGACTCTTTCATGTATGCCTCATTGTTGGAATTACAGTCAATACCAAAGGTAATCACTATATGGTCACTTTTACCCAGGGGACTGAAGTATTTAATATTGTTCACTAAAAGTTCTTCTGATGAGAAAACAAGATCTTTGGCCGTTTCTGTATCTTGTATAAAATTCTATGTTTTGATGAAGATAACTATCACGTACAGCTTCTATAAATTCATGACTTACATGATTTTCTGGCGCACTTGAAATCCAATGCTTCCAGTCTATATCACGATAGTTGAAATCACCCATAACAACTACTCTCGACTGTGTTTCATTATTCAATGCACTAATCATTTCATTCATAGCTACAGTAGCTATGTTATACTGCACATACATACCTTTTTTCCCTTAGCCACTCTGTTGATTAAATCTGTGTCTTGTTACCTATCAGGAGATAAAATTGTCAAGAGCATTCTTTCAAAGGTGAATGGAAGATTACATTTTCTATACCGTTATAAAAATTGTTTATCGGAAGAAATAAAGAAACAGTTATGTCCTGCCCTTTTGCTGTGTCACTTTGATTATTCTCAGATTTAGCTGTCCCTTGTTTTCAAATTGTGCTTCTGGGGTGAAAAGGGGCTACACTTTGACCTATTTCTCAGGGGAGCGATCCATGGCCCTGTTGTATTTATATCTTTGTAGACAATATCAGAATTTTGAACATGTAGGAAATTTGATCTTTTTGAAGAAGCTTAATATAATTTTCTGTTTAACAAGATAGATAGCAGAAGTTTATGTTCAACAATGCAGCTAATGATATGAACAGAGTAAAAAATGTCATCTGCAGAAAGTCATCTTAGCACTGCTGGATTTTATGGCAAGAAAAATAAAAGGTAAATTCTAATATTATGCATGTATATAACTATATATGTATGATTTTCTTTTATAAACAAACATATTTTTTTTCAAAGATCTTGCGTGCATTCAGAAAAACTTGAATGTTTTCTATCTGTCATCCATCTTACAATGAGTCAACTGCTCATTATCTGTACATTAGCTTTCTATGTCTACATTTTTGTAAATTTTTAAGATATGTGAAAAAGTCAGAATGTATGACAACTGTAAGACGGTTTGATTCATCTGTGTGTGTCATAAGTGTGCATTTCAGATTTGATGTTTGATTAATTCAAAATCCAATTAGAAATTAAGCATATCCAAGTAAATTTTTATGTTGCTTCTGCATTTTGTATTTAAAAAAGTACAAAAGTGTTTGTTTGGATATGATGTGCTAGGCATGTTTAATTGTAGACTGAGTGATCTTGTATAATTATTGATTTGTAATGCATGTATTTGATAGGAAATGGATTGGATTGGAAAAGTCAATTAACAGTGTTGTGAAGAAACATCAGAAGGAGAAAATACCCAAATCTTTTCCTTATAGGTAAATATGCTGTTCCAGGTTGTATAATGAATGTTTCCAGAAATCAGAATGTTCAGTCTAAGAGCATAATGTATATAAAGTCTTACAATTAATTTTTATATACATATACACTTATATTATGTTTGAATCTTGTGTATGATGCACAATAAAGATTTAACAGGATAAAAAATGTAATGACATGTTGGTGCCGATTAAATCTTAACCTTAGTGCAATAACTGGTTAACTCCTGTTAAATTTAGAAGGATATACCCCATTACTGCACTAAGGTGAGGAAATGTGCCAAATGATTTGAAAATGGAACAATCTCATTGAATAACTAAATTTGAATTACACAATGTGTTGATTTATCTTGGTCTTCACTGGTTGTATCGGTAGAATTAGTTGCTGCCAGCAGGCTAAGGGTTTATGAATAGATATAATAATGTCAATTTCCCCTCTATTTATAATTATGTCAATTTCCCCTCTATTTATAATTATGTCAATTTCCCTTCTATTTAGATACTTAATCAGATTTTTATAGTGTTCTTTTAATTTTTCTATGATATTTTTAGCTCACCTGTCACAAGGTGACAAGCTGAGCTTTTGTAACACCATGTTGTCAGTCGTTCGTATGTCAGTGCATTAACTTTTCCTTCAAATTACTTCTCCTCCAATACCACTTGGCCAAATTTTATGAAACTTGGCAGGCATGGTCCTTGCATAAAGCACTACCAAATTTGTTAAAACAATTAAATTCCTTAAAGAATTCTGGTTGCCATGGCCTTTAAATTCCTCTTGTCAAAAACCAGGTGTAGAGCCTCGATATTTGGTATGTAGCATGATCTAGTAGTCCCCTACATAGACTTTTCAAATTATGACCCTTGGGTCAAAACTTCAAAAGGGGCCCAACCAGGGGGGCTCATAATTTTAATATAAAGTTATATAGGGAAATCTTAAAAAATCAGCTTGTCAAAATGTACAAGGCCTTCAGCTTTGATATTTGGTATGTTACATATTAATCTAGTGATCCTCTACAAAGATTGTTCAAATAATGACACTAGGGTCAAAAACGGGCCCTACCAGGGGGCTCCTCAGTTTTATATAAAGTTATATAGGAAAATCTAAAAAAAATCTCCTTGTCTTATACCACACGACCTGGAGCTTTGATATTTGGTATGTACCATCATCTTGTGGTCTTTTACAAAGATTGTTCAAATTATGCCATAAGGACTAAATACAGGCATACACCCATGCATCAGGTAAGCGACCAAGGTCCCAAGGGTCCTCTTGTTTATATTTCCTTTATATCATGAAAAATAGTTTTACAGACAGTGCCATATGATATACTCATGAGTCATGCTAATTGTGATAACAGTGATATATAAACTGTTACAATGACACATTTTAAGACTATAAATCATATTATTATTCATTTTGTTGTGTAGGATTTTAGGACCCACAACTTCATGGCAGATATTTTATAGACAACAGGAAGCCTTCCAGTACACAAAAAGTACAGCTAAGGTATGATCAATGCATTAAAATGGTAAGACAGTGATACATGACAAATATGATCAGGAATTTATGATAAATTTTGTTATTGGTATTTTTATGAAGTCAGAATTTATTTTTTTAATTTACGTTTTAATAATTTGTTTCACTGTTTCTGAAACCCTGCTGAATTTATGTAAAGGAATGGCTCTGTTTAGATTTGGAACAATCCATTTAAAGAGTATCAAAATACAAGAATAGAGTCACTAACAGTGTAAGGCCTGATCATACTGCACAAATGTTCAGGCTGGCCTGGCTGTATACTGGTGGCATAGGCTAATTGTCCCCGCCTTTTCAATAGGCTCCGTCCGTCTGTCCATACAAACCCAGAGGTACTTGTGTGACTTGGAGAACAATGGGTTATGGTACAAATTTGATCCTATTCATTCCGTTTTTACTTGTGTGTCTTTTTTTAAGCCCTTGTGTGACTAAAAATGGCTGAAAAGTCACATAAGAACCATTTTGTAAGTACGTCCATCGGTCTGTCCATCTGCACTACCAAATAGGGATAGGGGGCCATCTCACTGTAAATAGAACAAAAGAGAACAATAGAATTTATTCCGTAACAATAGAATAAGGGGCCATGGCCCTCTATTAAACAAAAGAAAATAACAATAGAAATGGCCCTTTATCCCTATGCGGTTGGACGTCCGTCTGTCCGTCACACTTTCGTGTCTAGTCCATAACTTTGTCATTTATCAAAGGAATTTGAAATAACTTGGCACAAATATTTGTTATAATAAGACGATGTGTCTTGCGCAATAACCAGACTCCTACCTACAGGGCCAAGGTCCACTTGCTCATTCAAGGTCAACATTTCCTATTTGAGGGTATATGTCGTATCCGGTCCATAACTTTCTTATCTTTGAAGGGATTTTGTAAATACTTGCCACAATTGTTAACAATAATGAGACGATGTGTCATGCGCAACAACCGGTCACCTACCTCCAAGGTCAAAGTCATACTTGGAGGTCAAAGATTAACATAGTCTGTTACAGGGTATATTTTGTATCTGGTCAAAAACTTTTTCAAAGATCAAAGGATTTTGAAAATACTTGGCACAAAAAGTCACTATTATAAGACAATGTGTCATGTGCAACACCTGCATCCCTACCTCCAAGGTCAAGGTCACACTTGGAGGTAAAAAATTAACATAGTCTATTATAGGATATATTTTGTGTCCGATCTAGAACTTCTAAATAGTTCAAGGGATTTTGAAATAACTTGGCACAAATATTCACAATAATAAGATGATATGTCAAGTACAACACTTGCAGCCCTACCTCCAAGGTCAAGGTCACACTTAGAGATAAAAAATTAACATAGTCTGTTATAGGGTATATTTTGTGTCCAGTCCATAACTTTTTCATAGATCAAAGGATTTTAAAAATACTTTGCACAAATAATCACAATAATAAGGCGTTATGTCAGGCCCAAACATGGGTACCTACCTTCAAGGTCACACTTAGAGGTCAAAAATTAACATAGTCTGTTATAGGGTATATTTTGTGTCCGATCTATAACTTCTTCATAGTTCAAGGGATTTTGAAAATACTTGGCACAAATAGTTACAATAATAAGACGCTATGTAATGCACAACACCTGCACCCTTACCTCCAAGGTCAAGGTCACACTTAGAGGTCAAAGCTTAGCATGATAGAGTTTTAAATTCTGTGTTTCATTTTATTTCTTTAAAAAATTTATTGTTGCATTTGCAAATCTAGTATTGATCATAATTTTGGACTGAAAGTCTTGAGATCTATACCTCAATCTTTTGAAATAGCACAATTTTATGCTTCATATAAAACTTCCAGAGGCGGGGGACGTTGGTAACTCTGTTACAAATTCTTGTTACTTTTGGTTCTAGCAGGTAAAATATTTACAAAATAATTATACTATATAATTACACAGGACTTGCATGTATTTGCGTTTGAGAGTGAGAGTTTTGAGGGAAACACAGGACAGAGGTTATACTTGTCAACTAGCTATCCTGTTTTCTGGCATTACTATAGGTAGGGTCTTAGTAACTTTTCTAATAAGCATTTTGAGTGTTAGACTTGTAGTTTGCTGTACATGTATTATCAGCCTCTATTGTTTAACAAGTTGCTCAAGGTTACTGGTTTGAAAACATAAGTTTACATTTACATAGTTTATTCATTTTTTTTTTTTTTTCGTTTACAAATGTTACAAATTCTTAGGTCAATAACTATGTGATTTATTTTTTAATGAAATCTTTCTTTTTCTTAACTTCTTCATTATCCAGGCATTTGTTTTACTAAAAGTAGAGTAGAAAATGAAATCTTAAAATAGCATGACCCTCTTCTGTACTTTGGTAATATTTTGTTTTAGTCAACTGGATGAAGATAAAAGATTACACTATGAAGTAATACCTGAAGGTAATTTATCTAGAAAATATACTAATATGTGTTTTAAAGTTCTAGCTGATGGTATGTACTGTGTTAAAGTGATACTTTAAGATGTCACGGTGAGAAAAATATGCAGCCTGACTGGGACCCTCGGAACACCGTTCCGCTGCTCGACTGAGCTATCCAGCCACTTACACATCTTATCCCTTATATTATATAGTGAACCGTTCTGAACTGTTGCATACTCTGCTGATATATCGAAATTTGTCTCTGAATTTCTCAGGGTGACAGAGCAATGTGAAATTACACTCTGAGCTATATGCAGTAACGGCCCCATGTCTGGTGCCAAATGTCACAGGATGATAAAAATGTGCAGCCTAACCAGGACTTGAACCTGGGACCCTTCGAACCCCCATTCACTGCTTTATCGACTAAGCTAAGATATGGCCCCTTACAACATCTGCCTTATACAGTGGACTGTTTTGAACTGTGATGATATATCAACTGTGTTGAATCAGCTGAACCCATCATTTACATTATTGTAATAATTGGGTCCATGAAATACCAAATTTATATAAATATAAATCTGCTAATTCTTCAGTATTTATTGTATTATATTAATGAATATGCCTTTACTTCATATCATTGAAAATTATAATAATGTAAGTTATGTTAAATACAGAAAAATGTTTACCCAAGTGCAAAGAAATCATTATTGTTGAAGTCCCAGACACATCAATTTTCGAAATTATCAACACCATAAAAACACATTATTGTTGATTAAAGAATGTATAGGTTAATGAAAATTGTATATAACATACCTATCTTACTATCTAATATACTAAATATTTAATATAGGTGCAGTATGTAAGTTGTATTTTGATCTGGAGTATGATAAAACTGTTAACCAAGACTGTGATGGTGACCACATGGTGGCTATATTTATACAGGTAACACTCTATTTTATGTGTTTCAACAAAATTGTTATTGCATTTGTTTATATAAAAAGTTATTCATTTTGCTTTTCAATAAGTAAGTAGATTGAGGTTTTTGATTTGTGGAGTGCTTTACGAAGATGGTGTTACATGTATTTACAGATACAGGGTAACCTTGGTAACCACAATCCATCATGTTGAAAGCTTTTGTCCTTTAGACAGCTTTTGTCCATTAGACAGCTCTTGTCCTGTAGACAGCTTTTGTCCTACAGACAGCTTTTGTCCTGTAAACAGTTTTTGTCCTACAGACAGTTTTTGTCCTACAAGCAGCTTTTGTCCTGTAAACAGCTTTTGTCCTTTAGACAGCTTTTGTCCTGTAGACAGCTTTGGTCCTGTACAGATTTTGTCCTACAGAAAGCTTTTTCCTGTAGACAGCTTTTGTCCTGTTGAAAGTTTTTTTTCCTGTAGACAGCTTTTATCCTGTAGACAGCTTTTGTCCTGAAGACAGCTTTTGTCCTGTAGACAGCTTTTGTCCTGATGAAAGATTTTGTCCAGCAGACAGCTTTTGTCCTGAAGACAGCTTTTGTCCTACAGACAGCTTTTGTCCTGTACACAGCTTTTGTCCTGTAGATAGTTTTTTTCCTACAGAGAGCTTTTGTCCTGTAAACAGCTTTTGTCCTGTAGACATCCTTTGTCCTGTTGAAAGCTTTTGTCCTGTAGACAGCTTTTGTCCTGTAGACAGCTTTTGTCCTGAAGACAGCTTTCGTCCTGTTGAAAGCTTTTGTCCTGTAGACAGCTTTTGTCCTGTTGAAAGCTTTTTTCCTGTAGACAGCTTTTGTCCTGAAGACAGATTTTGTCCTACAGACAGCTGTTGTCCAGCAGACAGCTTTTGTCCTGTTGAAAGCTTTTGTCCTGTAGACAGCTTTTGTCCAGCAGACAGCTTTTGTCCTGTAGACAGCTTTTGTCCAGCAGACAGCTTTTGTCTGGTACACAGCTTTGTCCAAAAGACAGCTTCAACCAATCATCTCTGGTACTTAAGATGATTTGACTGTGACTTGCTGTGTGCCTTTTGGCAATGTGCTTGAGGTGGGAGGGACTTAAAGAAGTGATAGACAGCATTTGTTTTATAATCTTCAAGCTGATATATTACATTTTATGTTATAAAATCACTGTACATGTTCTTACTAAATTGTCTACTTTATAAGAATCTCATTTCTGGATGACTGAGCAATTTACATTATATAATATACATGTATTTTTTAGTTTGTATGCAAGGCATTGATGGCTATATTTAATGTATCTTGTACAAGAAAAGATGTTCTTGATCTACAAGCAAGGTAACTATGTTTTATGTATGAAGATTCCTTTTAATAAACTAACTTTCTCTGGCAGAAATTATGTTTTTAATTAGTTTTGTGAATGTTAAAAATTCTAGTGTGTCCTGTCTCAATTTAGTGTGTCTTTTGAGATAGGTCATTGTGATTGTGTTGTGTACCAGTATGTACTTGTATTTCCTTGTCTACTCTTTCTGTATGTATTGTACACCAGACATACAACAATAGTCTTGCATTAAAAAAACACCGCTTAATATGATTTATTTTATGCTTTCCAGTGTTTTATTGTAATATATCAGATGATTATATTCCGATAAACCACTAGTGAAATTTATAAAATATAATTTTCACTGTAGCCGGACTATATCTGAATGCGGATGAAAAGAAAATCATAACTAAATGGAATAACAGGCAGAAATAAATGCCGTCATACGTAAATTTTGTTTCTTTAGGAAAAGAAAGTCGATGTCATCATACATCATGTTAAAAAATGTAACAAAATTAGAGAAATTTAACAGAACTATATTTCAAAATTGATGACGTGACGTCATGATGTGATGACGTCACAAAGGAGAATGCGCGATGTTACGCGGCGAAATCAGTAAATCATTTAAAAAGCATGAAATAAAAAGAAAATTTATTTGTTTTACATATAAGATTGAAATATATTTCATTCGTGAACACCAGCTATTATATTTTCACTCGTGGCTACGCCACTCGTGAAAATATTGCATCTGGTGTTCACTCAGTGAAATTATATTTTAATCTTACATGCAAAACAAACAAATATCCTCTATATACATGTATCAGTTTTTCAATAAATCAAATTTAAGTTAAAGCTATCTAAAAAAAACTCAAAACAATTGCAACACTACTGGTTTAATGTATAATATGGTTCAAATTATTATCTTCATCTATTACTGATAGAGCAAGGGCTGTTTTTTTTTATATTTTTTCTTTATTTTCATTTTTGTTTTTGGTAAGTTATATTGATTTTAATTGCAATAGGCACTTTACGTGTTACTTTATTTGTAACATAACATTTTTTTTGTGTTTATATCTTTCCTAAATTGTCAAAAAATGCATGAATGTGGAGGTATTTTGTTATGGTCTTCACTATATATTTACATAGAAAATAAGCTTTGTCCTGTGATCTGATATACCTGGCAAATAAAACATCAAACAGTCTTTGTCTCAACATAAAGTGGACTGACTTCATTAACATTTTTATGTCAAATAATTGTAAAAAAAAATAAAAAAAATTGTTCAACATAAAGTTTTAAGAAATTGTGGATATTATGATATGATTATTTATTATCTTTGTTTTTCAGTACAGAGAGAAAGTTTAGTCGACATTTGATATTTCAGATGAAGAATGCAGCATTTAAAGATAATATACATGCTGGTAGGTAATCACTTTAGTCACTGTAGTACAATGACTGTAATAAAGAATGTATCATTGTCCGCTGCCAATTAATCACCCTGGCTTGAGTCATAACTGAGACACTAGATGGTGTGATAATAAATAAATTCATGGTCTCACCGCTGAATATGGGTGTCATGTTTAAACGGGTACAGTCGGTTTTTTAGCTAAAAAAACGGTTAGAAAATTCAATAACCGGTAACCGAGTTTATTATTTGAAATAAGGGGCAGAAAAACTTTAAATCGATTCTAAATATTACCTGAGTTTTTTTTACGACAAGATATGACAATTGTTTGAATTTTAGTTGTACTCAACAACCCTAGCGGAAAATAGTCACTCCATATTTTGATATGTATTGTAATCATTTTGAGTACAGCAGATTATGAACAAAATGGCATATCTTGTCAAAGGGAAGTTAAAAGTTAATGTTGAAAATCTAAGGACTTTTATAGTAAGATCGGTTAAACGGTTATTATGCTGCCGTTTAAACGGGAGCACTTTTTCTAACCGTGACACCCCTACCGCTGATGGTGCATGGGTGAAAGCGTTGTCGGATTCTACTTGTGAGAAAGCTTTCCAGCTAGCTGGCTGAACATCAATGGTTTTACTCAAGTGCCCGTTTTTGTCTGTAATAATATACAGAGGGACACCTAAGGTCTTCCCCACCAGAAAAAGCTGGAAAGCTGTTAAATGACCTAGTGTTACATAAAAAGTGTTACAAAAAAAAAAACAAAAAAAAACAACATTTGTGAAGATCAATAGAATATGTTTTTTGTATAATGTTTTTTATTTGGAGAAGCAGTATTAATAAATACAGGTTTTTCCAAATTTTACAAAATTTGTTTTTTAATTTTGTAAAAATGTAGTTCAAAAATAAATGACATAAAGAGAGAAATGCCAGACCAGGTTTCTACACCAGACACACCGAATATCTCCACAAATCAAGGCTGTGTAAAAACAGAATTACCTACTGAAATTAAAGTTGAAACAGACCCAGTAAATGAGTCGGTGAGTGAAGAGAAACACAGAGTAAACACTGGTCATTTAGATGTAAATGAGTCGGTCAGTGAAGAAAAACACAGAGTAAACACTGGTCATATAGATGTAAATGAGTCGGTCAGTGAAGAGAAAAACAGAGTACACACTAGTCATATAGATGAAATTTTGGACTCATTCTCTATAGAGGACTTGAAGAAACTGATGGTTAATAGCAAGAATGGAGATGTGTTATTTTGTGATACAGGTATTTCTATTATCATATATATTGTGTCAATGTTTCAAACTGTAAAATTTTCATGTTATAGTTCATGTATATGAATTTATTTATATCATAATATGATAATTCTTACTAATTTTCATTAAATTTTGGGGTGAATTTTCAAAGTAAAATAGTATTGTTGTTTATTTAGTTAGTTATGGTATATTTAATACAAACATATAAGACTCATTATGCCACAGAAATGCTTTTATTTCTCAAAAGCTTTTTAATTTTGGTGTGCTTTTATAGTATCCAAAAACTCATTATTCATTGTAATTGGCCAATTATTGGAACCATCTTTTTAATCTATTGCTTTTTGGCAATAAGTACATATTAGTGAATAAGTATTTTGTATAGAAGTCAAAATACTACCGGTACTTTGTTTACATTTTATGAGTACATATTTTGTGTGCAGGTGTTTATACAAAGAATAGAAACTTCAGATTGTTCCTGTCATCTAAACTTGGGAAGAAGAATACCCTGGTTGTAGCATCTGAGAATGAATATTGCAGGAAAGTAGATTCACAGCGATCAGAACTTGAGAATATATTCTACGATTCCCTTGTTTCAAATATAGAGTAGGTCATTATTATACATGTTTGTCTTTGTTTTCTTTTAAAAAGTGTCCATATGTGAATTTTGTTTTATTTTTCCACCATTTCTTGAAACATGTTGACTATCTATTTTTCATCAGTTAAAAGGTGTCAGCTCAGAACTCCTGGTGGTTCAGAAGACCACATAGGTGTATATATGCTACAAGAAATTTTTGTTTGATATGATCAAGTGCTTTTGTTAACTGTAAAAGATGTATGTTTCCTAACATCTCAGTGAAAAAGAAATCTGGTTTTATGTTTATTTTATGTTTATTTGCTTTTTATAAAATTGAATGGTGTGTAAATATGTAGCAAATGTTTTATATATTTGTTTAGGGAGATCATTTTACAGAGTTGATTCATGTTTAAAATTCATCTTTTGTCTTCTTTCATAGGACATTCTTCAGTTTTGATAAATATTTGATTTTATTTTTAATGTACAATTCAAAAGTCATTTCTATAGTTTCTTTTTTTGTTTGACAGGTACTCCAGTAGAATGAAGATTCTCACATATGACGACAATATATCACACCATGTTAATGGTTTACCTCGGAGAAAACAAGACAAAAGTTCAAAAGGTTTTACTGATTATTTTGCACTTAAACTTCTTTGGATATCAAATGTAACTTTAGGTCCACCTGCTTAGCTTAATAGGGTCAAATTCAGTTTGTAATCTAGTGAGTGGTCCTTTGTTATATTGTCGGTAGAAGCAAATTTTTTCCATCACAATTGATCCCAGACATTGTTTCTAATGGTCATTTGTCTCTCACTACTGCAGAAATTACATGGCATTAATAGTGGGTCACATGCAGAGAAATTGATAATCACTGGTGAGTTATCCAGGATTAACTGGACTTATTATTGAGGTGTGATAAAAAAATGTGATTGGATATTAACCAAAGAAACAAAAAAAAATTACTTATTTTGTACCTCAGTGGTATCATTACCTCCTAGCTATAAAGCTGCAGTTACAGTTCAGGAATCTCGTTTACCACTGTTTCTAGGTGAAGTACATGACTGAAGATCAAAAACAATTTTGAGTACTTTAAGATTTACGTCAGAGAATTTGTTGTAAGGCTAAGATTATCTGTTTGTATACTTAAAAGTCTTTTAATGCACTCCAGAGTGAAAAAATCTAATTACATTGTATTTGATAATAAATGTACCATTTGTTCTTTTTGTATAGAAGCTGAATGTATTGATGGTTACAGCAAATCCCCATATCCTGAAGTTGATGAATTCATTCAGAACATTATAACACAGGATTCTGGGAAAGGTGTGATCAGGCATTGGACCTATTTTCATCAGGGAGAACTACTTGTTTATGAGATAGCTAAATACAGATATTGTCATAACATAGGAAGACACCACCGCAGTAATAATATAATGTAAGTAACAGGAAGAGCATCGAAACATTAGGCTATCTGATTTGTATGAAGGGGCTTAATCAGATTGCCAAGTCAGTTTAGATATTCTTTCTTTTTTTTGTATCATAGGCAAAAATATTCACATGTTCCCTGTCATCACAACATGAAACCCCAGAAAAAACAGGAACCAGTGTATGAGCATCTGAATTTTACTTTTCTGTCAATATCCCTTTCCCTGACATTATAATTAGAAAATCCCAGAAAAAATGATCAAATCAGCGAGCATGCTCCGACAGACAGCACTAATTAAGGTAACTAATACCTGCACTCCAGTGAGCACACTGTTCATGTATGGGTATACGGTTTAACTCTGACTTATTTACTATAGAAAGATCTCCAAAATAAGATACAAGTTAATGTTATAATGCAATTTATGTTTTGTATGCTGTTAATGTTTTCTGATTTGTTTATAGTTACACAAATTTGAAGTATAGAATTAAATATTGCTTCTTGATATTATGTATATCAAGCAAGCAGCTTAAATTTAATAAAGTGATGTAAGAATATAATTAGATATATTTTTAGCTTGACTATGCATATAATCGGTGGGGGGGGGGGGGGGGCTATTAAATACACCTGGCATCGTTGGTGGCAACATTACACTTTGGTTAAGCTTTTGTGTGCAAGTTAGTATCTCCAAAACTATGGAAGGGAATGGCAATTAAATGGTTGTAAACTTAACACACTTGTTTTCTTTGACTATCTTACATGATGAAGACATGTCTCAACTATTTTACTTTACTTAGTATCCTGAGACCAATTTTTAAGTACTTGGTTGTTTTCCAAAAAATTTACTTAAAATAGAGCAAATTGGGGCCAAACAAATGTAAAAAAAATATCTCAGGATCAAAGGTGTCATTGGTTTTGACTTATTTATACTCAAATAATTCTGTATTCAAACTTCATAATTTCAAAAAATTTGAATTAAATATATATATTGGGGGATAAATGAAGACTTTCTTTTAACTTAGACACTAGAGAAAATTGTCTATTTGAAGTCCAACACACAGAAATTTTACTGGTTTCAGGTTGATTGTAGATTTACATGCAGGTGTTTGGTACCAGAAATGTCATGATCCTGATTGTCATACCCAAAATTACAAATCTCCAGGTAAGAACATTTTACAAATTACAAAACTCCAGGTAAATTATAAAATTACAAATCTCCAGTAAATCATAAAAGTACAAATGAACTTTGCCTATTTTAATCTTTCAAAATATAAACACACATTCTAACACAACGCATTTTTCCCTATTGAACATAGGAGAATCGAAAGTGTTTGTTATCATGCAATAAAATCATTGTTGATGTTCTATATTTAGACATGTGACATAATAGTCACTAAAAACGTGATGCGCTGAAATAAGTACGAAAACAAATCAGGCGCAATTAAGCTTATTATCATGTGTGGCAGCATTTATTTGTTGATGTTGTGTTAGAATTGAAATAATATATCCAAATCAGTGATTTTATTTCTTTATAATCACTGTTTGTCATTCGGATGCACATCATTTTATCACTTGGGATACAACCTTGTGATATAATTCTTCGCATCCAAACTACAAAGAGTGATTTTTTTGAGAGATAAAATTACTGTTTGTGATTTTTTCTTAAATAAAATAGAGGTTTACACTTCATAAATCTTAGTTTTGCTTGCGTAGCAGAAAACAATGATTATACTAAAGTCTAATATTTTAAAGTTTCATTGTTTAGAATGGCCATTACCAAAGAATGTGTTACCTGCCAGTTATTTTGATGATGACCTTGACCTTGAGATGGAGGATGATGAACTATTGAATACTACAGCCGAGTTAGAGAAACAATACATGGAGAAACAAGCCAACATTTCAGGTTTTATTATGTTACGATTATTCTGTGTTCATGGTTGAAAGTTTAGAGGATTATTTCTTATTCCAGAATTTTTTAAATCCTAAAAATCCACCTTTTTGAAAATGGTATCAGATTTATGAATATAAAAGAAAAATTGTGATACGGTTACAATGTTATGATATAAAAAGAGGATATTAAATGAGTGTAGGTTCAATACTGAAAAAGTTAAATAAAATTATATCAAGCGAGTTTCTGGTGAATACAGCATTTTAGTTTTTACATAAAAAGTAAAATTTAATGCAACGTTAGTACACTTTTATGCTATGCTTGTATAATAAAATGATGTCTTGTTGTAAAGTTATAACACTAGTGTATTATCATTTTAAATGGATTTATTACACTCTTGTGCTATGGGTTATGTGAGAAGGTTAATTTTTCTTTGCTTCATGGTAAATTTATCTGAAAATTTACCGAAATATCAGACTTTAATAATTGGTGTCCAGGCTGAAAAATTGACGCCCAGACTGAACAAGTTTAGTAAAACATGTACTACACTTTCGTAAAGTAGAATATTATTGGGCAATGAAAGTTTTTATTTTGTATATATACATGGCTTCTGCTAATTTTTGAATCAATATTTATTATAATCAAAGGAAGGAATTGTGCAGTACATGTATTATTATAATGTCAATAATTAAGTGTTTTCATAATGGCCATGTTATTGGGCTGAAGACTGTCATATTAGCCTGAGGCTGAAAGCCAAAGGCTAATATGACAGTCTAAAGCCCAATAACAAGATCATTATGAAAACACTTAATTATTGACAATTTTAATAATTAACTACTGTCTTACGTATCTAAAAAAGGTAAATAATTTGTGAGAGAAAAAAAACTAACATTGCGAGGTATTGCAAATGAGATTCTTGTTTTAAAAATGTCTAGGAGCAATTCAAAATGGCGACTATTTTTAAATGAAAGAAAAAAAAGCAGATTCATAATAGCCGAGCTGGAGAGCCAATCAAAATTCTCCAATCTCATAATAGCCGAGTTTTCTCATAAGGCCATACTTTTTGCATAATGGCCTTGTTTTAGGTTCATAATGTCGTAGTGAACTTCATAACAGCCTTACATTTGAAGTGAAAACTTGCCCAATATTGAAAAGTAATTAATAAAAATTAATTAAAGTGACAGACAGGTTATTAAGCCACATATAATGGTTGTTGTGTGAAAAAATACATGGAGGTACATCTGTAACGCAGCTTACCTAGAAACCTAACAAAATACACATGATATGCTAGTTGATGATATTTGATAGATTTTCTATTATTACAGGTGTATCAGAACTTGATGATGATGGTGATGATGATGATCTTGTTGCTGCTGTAACACTTCTAGATAATAGTATACAGAATGGTTGACATTAAACTAACCTTCCAACAAATATGCTGTATATGATAATCAATATATCTAGCGGTAATAACCTCCGAAGTTCTGAAGATTTTTGTAGATATTAAGTTTGAAACCTCTTCTGAGATATTGAGAGATAAGTGCAAGATTAAATATAGAGTAATGAAGAGAAGACAGGCTAGCAACCAGAAATTGATGAACAAATGGAGTTATTGTAAATGTTAGCTATCAAACAGCATTGAAAAGAAATTGCTATTTAATGTATTAACAGGAGAGTTGCTGAAATGTTTACTGTCATTATTTGTGAGGAAACTGAGAACATGAACAAGGTTCTAGATCTAGATGGTCATGTGTTAGTAGAACACTGGTGAACTTGTGATATATCTTCTACACAAATAATTAAGTCATCTACAAGGAATCCTGTATATTATTTATAAGCAAATTATAATCCATGTACAAGAATAATATCATCTGACTTACTTATATGTCAGCAGACACTAGAAAACTATAGACCAATAAATTGACATAATGAAATAATGTTTATAAATCCAAACTGCGATCATGAAAAGCAGCTGTATTTTAATTAATTTGTATTTACAAAATACATAAATTGTTTACATGTATGATATTGGCTTGAAGTTAAAATTTTGTTTTTCTAAGATATCTACAAGGTTTTACACTGAAATTTTAAGATTATTTGAGAAGGAAAGACATATAGATGTTCAAGTAGATAATGTTGTAGTAAAATTTAATGATTATTGTGTGAAGGATTTTTAACATTAATGATGAAGTATAATTATATGACTGTTAACATTTGCAAGTTATGTGTATTATCATTCTGTAAGTGATTTTTATTTGTTAATACTTAATGAAATCATATTTTTAATAAATTTTAAACAAAATCAAGTTTACTAGTTGCTATACATCAAATATCTAAGATCTAGGTCTTCTGCTTTCAGTGAGTATTACACTTTTTGTGTCGCTTGCCTATCATCAGGTGACATGGTCACTGAATTGTCTTGTTGAATTTTGATTATAGTTCATGTGACCGAGACATGCAATAGACCAGAACCATTTGAGTAACCTTACTGCTCCATGCTTATAATATACCTGAAAAGTTTGATTCAATTTGACTACAGTGGATATATTAACAGATATGACAAAACACATGTAATTCCAAGTCAAACTGATAAATTTGGTAAAAGTTATTTTACAAAAAAATAACTACTCTTTATACAAGTTGTTTCATTAATGTTGCTGTATTTCAATCAGGACAAAACCATTCATCATTTTTAGGGAAAATTTTAAAATAAGTGTTGACATAACAATGTAGACTATGATAAAACTACACAAATAATCTTGGTCTGAACTGTTTACATGGTTAGATTCATATTTCACTACCTGGATCCTTCATATTTACCAAACAATCAATTTACTGGACAAAATCTTTACCTGTCAATAATGTTTTATTTTTGTTTCAATTAAAAAATCATCTGATCTTAATCGCTAACACACTACATTTTGAAGTAAAAAACAACAAAACCTTTCTCTGGAGTAAATATTGTTCATTCAGTTCTTTATTTACTTACATGCCCATTTGTTTACTATGTTGTTTCATGACCTGGTCATAATCTGTTCCGAGCATGCCAGAATATTGAGGCTCTTAATGGTTTTTTTAAGACATATTTTACTTTTACATCTTATGTGCATTATCTCAGCAGACTATCAATGATAAAAAGTAAATTTAAATTTAGTCCAAACATTACTTTGTTGTTGTCTTTTACAAAGAAATGCTTCAAATTAAAAACCATATAAGAAAATGGGTAAACCTTACCATTCAACAGTTTTAGTTCCCTCGCTGATTATTTAGAGTAATTTCAATTCACAACTTCAAAATATTTTGAAACACAATGTCCGGTAAATTGAGTTGTCAACATGATTTTTGAAAAAGTCGACATATAGTGGTTACTTTTGTTGTCGTGTTGTCCCCTTAGGCTTGTCCAGAGCATAATTAGGTCACTATTGGTTGGATCGACTCTAAACTTGTAATGCATGCTTCTTTCAATGACTGGAAGTGCAGTGCACAAGAATCCTAACTCTGCACTTCATTGGTTTTCATGGAAAAAACATCATATTTTGTCCAGTAACATGAAGGATATCCCAGTACACTATATTGCAGGTTAAGGCTTAAAATCAATAGAACTTTGGCTCAAAGTAACAAACAAGAAAGAAGATTTCATCATTTTATTTTCATGAATTTTCTCAATATATATAATATATGCCCTGTCATGAACAAGACCATTTGTATATACAATTAACCATCTGATAGCAAAATAAATACAACTTATATAACATTCATATACACACAAAATGAAGGGTAGAAAAATAAAACATGTTTTTCTAAAGCCATTGAATTTAAATAAAAGGAATTACAATTCAGAACATGAAATAAAATCATAATTTCATCAGCCTTTTAAACATTGTCATTATACAATGTGTTTCACAATGTGATCTTCATTACAACTGCTACCTTATAATTCACCTCAAGCAATGTTACTATAAAAGCATGAATACATAAATATGCAGCACTTGTTTTATTATATTAAAGGCCCATTAAATCTCAAAAATGCTATCATTTTAATTTTTCAAAAGCTTTTCATTTTTTTGGTATTCTGTTACAGTTTCCAAAATGTTACTCATTGGCCATGAAGCTGAGCTATATACTGCCTCTTTAGTGTTTGTCAAAAAGTCAAGCAAAAGTAGCGTTGGTATTTTGTATGGAAGTCAAAATACTACTTTGTTAACATTTTGCAACACAAATTATTTTACATTTAATGCTATTTTCAGGGTGATAATGACAAGCATCTAGCATGTTCTAAATCCATTATTGCAACAGTATAAAACACATGTTTGCCCATTCTACAGAAGAAAAAAAAGTCTGAGGCATAATGTGCCTTTAAAAGAATATTTTTTTGGGGAAAAATGAACAAATAATTTTTATACAACAACAATGCAAACGATCATGATAAAAACTTAACCAAAATCTCAAGAGAAGCACTTTCAAAATTGTATAGTTTATAATTTTTTATTTTCATTTATTCTCTGAATCGACTGTACAAATGATTGTAGCAATAATGTTAATGAATTTGAACAAATGCACAATGACATAACAAAGATGACTAGTTAGTTATACAAATATTTCATACAGAAGTTGACACTTTGTTGTATTTAATACAGCTACTGCCCCACACAAAGTAGTGTCACAAAAAGATAAATTTTCATCAAAGGTTTACATATTTACATGAATCTAGATGATTAATATGCAGCTCGCCCCTAGAAATATATGTATTAAAGGTGATTTTTTTTAAGGTGAAGTTTTTTTGTTGTCGTTTTTTTAATTGACAACAGCCTTGTATGGGTCAGTAGATGGTATAAAACTGGTGTTATGAAGAAATAGACAAAAACAACAAGAATTTTGAAGAAATGTTTGATTGGTACATATAACATGAACATTTCCACATGGCACCTTTTAAATTGTTCTCATCAAGATTCTAAGATCTTCTATTTATTCAAATCTTCCACATGATTATTTCATAAACAAAACATTCCAAGTCTTTCCTATGATTATTTCATGAACATCAGTACTTAATATATACAATCTGTGCAAATGTCTTGACTTACTGAATCAAGGTCACTCAATAACATTTCATTTCCAAAAAAGCAACCAAATATTCAATGCCTTATTCCATAGAATTTCTAAGTAAAGATTAATGAAAATGAATGGCAAATTTATTCTGAATATTACCGACATGGGCAATAAACTTGGAACATAACATTCAAAGTTAATCGTTCATCACATTATCTATGGCACACTTGATTTAATAATCTTCAAAAATTTGTGCTCTGTTTGTGAATGGTCTTATTTAGATGAATAGAACAGTTTTAATGTTTTATTTGTATCAGAGGTTTACATTAATTATCAAGAGATTGTAAACCAGTTTTGAACACAGCAACTTTCTGTAAGAGAACAATATTGCATTGATTTACTCCCATTAAGAGTTTACATAAATCATTAAAAACTTGTAGGCAAAAAAATGCTTTGAAAACAGTCATGACAAAGTTGGTTGAAACAATATCCAGTTATCCTATACAGAATAGCAATAATTTGTTTGTAGACTAAGATACATTAAGATATCTATATGTTGTGTTTATTAAAAGCTGCCAATCACTTACAAATACTGTACATGGGTTAACAATACTAGGACAACTTGGTTTAACAAAATTATGGTTCAATTGTGTGGTTATCTAATGTTATTGCATTTGAAAACCTGTAATTTTGGTGTACAATAATAAAACTTTGATTCTTTCACCCAGCAATCAATTCATTAGATTAATGGTTGATTACAAGCTGATGTAAAATTTCGCTTCAGCAACGCAGATAAATTTCTACTTTCTTCTGTTTTATTCCTGTGTGTTCAATTGATATATATCATTAAATCAAAACTGACCCAAGTCCAATAAATAAGCTCAACCTTCTGACTTTTTACCATGACCTCTCCCATTCTTTATTTAATTAAAAAAATCAGAGTCTTAAAGCAGGTATCCCAATATGGAATATATCTCCATAGCAACTGTATTATTTTCTCAGCTTTCATCATCATCATCTTCAACATCAAAGTCATCATCATCATCATCGTCCTCAACCTGAAATCATAGACAGTGAATTACATTGACAACAAATAAAAGACTTTATAAGAAGATGGCAGTAATCAATAAATATAATGTAAAAATTCTACACATGTTAAGTCAAACATTACACAATAATATATCAGTTATAGGAAATAGATAATAATAATTATTATGTTTTAGATGTCAAAGTTGCCAATTGTTTGCTTCTATATAGGTATCCATTTTAATGCATGTGTCTTAACTATGTATCAAGTCAACGGGGACAATCAAATTGTCATAAAAATTATACATGCATGTAACACATCTTTTATACAAGACTTAGAGCTGTTGGTGGGACAGCATGCTCAACTATTTTCAGTGCTTGATAGTAAAACAAGAGCCTGGATAAAGTAAAAAATTTTAAGTTCAAAGAGGGCCATAATTCTGACAAAGTCCATGTAATTGTTAGAGTAATGGGCCTTAGATAATGACCTACTATTATGCTCTTAATTGAGTGTGTGAAGTTTCAACGTGTTCCCTTCAACAGTTTTGGAGATTAGATAACAACTTACACACAAAAACTTAAACAAAGTGTGGGTGAGTACAATTTTGAATAGTTGAGCTAAAAATGTACAACATTTTTTTTTTAAAAACCATGTTGAGTTTTTCTCATGACTTGTTATTAACTGAATTAATTACCAAGGACCTAATATATTATCTAGTAACCAAATGAAAGTAAATAAGCAATAAAAACAAGGACAGAGAGGGAGAAGCACAATGGGAGAGAAAAAAATGAGTAATAAAATATCTTTTTTAGTTATATTACCTTATCAATTTCAGGTTTTAACCTTTTAAATTTGAATATGAACTGGTTTAGTTATTTTAAGACAAACATGTAGAAGAAAACTCTGTTCAAGCATACAAGGCAATCTTAATCACTTATCTACTTAACTTACCAAAAGCTTAAATAAGATTTTTCATATAATATTCAGATAAAGCATGCATGATATACAATGCCTCTCCAACTTAGTAACCACATAAAATAAACTATTCTCAAAAGAACAAAAATATGAAAGGTATAACAAGGACAAAATCTGCACAATTAAACATAAGCAGTATGCTGGGGAATAATAGGAAACAAAGTGGAAAATTAAAAATATTATCTTTTACCTCTTCGACCTATTGATGAACAAAAATAATAGAAGTTAATGTTATATCTAAAATAACATGATAGCTGTGTAACAAGGGATATACATAAGGAATCATTATATTCTGCTTTAAACAAGGGATACAAATAGCTCACTTGACATCGACACAAAATTTTGTTCACTTCAAACCATGGTTAAGTGGTTACCTCAATATATTACCTTTATTAACTTATTAATATTATTATTATTTCATTATATTAAATATTTTTTTGAAATGGTTAAAACTTTGACCTTGTTAGAACTAAAAGTGATTAGGCTTTGCCACCAGTAGAGAGCCAGGCGTTATTTGTGAAGTCTGACCAACCCTTTTATTGTTGTTAGCTCAATTTTTGTATTTTTACATTGGAATCCAGTAACAATTGAATTCAAAGAAGTGAAAGTCATCAAAAAATTAGCAGGTAAAAATAATAGTTATTAATAAGTTTGATTATACATGAAACCCTTCCAGAGAAATGTTTCTCCTTTACTGTTTTAGAAAAAAAGATACATTTAAAAAATATGTCAATACCAAATAGTCCAATTGTTAGTATATTGACCATACCCATTTATATTATTTTTATACAAAGCAGTGTATGTCATATGATACCAGATCCATAACTTTTACAGCACTTACTTCTTGTCCAAGCTCCTTTAATTTCTGTTTATATTTGTCAATTTTAGTGTCCTGGTCAGCTAGTAGCACCAATAAATCTTCCTGTTCCTTCTTTAATGTTTCTAACTCCTCTTTAATCATATCTTTTTCTCCATCTTTCTTAGATAACTCGTCCTCCATTTTCTGCATAAATTATAGCATAAAGTGACAGTATATAAATATACTTACATCATCAAACAAATTAAAATCATATTTTCAGAACAGATGTTTGCATTTTTGTTTCACATAGTTTTACGATGTTTGAAAAATTTATTCAAAATACAACTTTTGTAAAATAAACGACTTTGAAATTTGAATTGCTTTGAAACTTATTAAATGCAACATCAACTTCATGAAAATGTTCAATAGTCGATTAGTAATACCAATTAACAATTCAAGTTTGAAGTACTATAATTAAAAAAAAAAACTTTATGTAGGTATAAGGTTACACAAGGTAACATTAAATGAATCAACCTCATCTTGCTTTCATAAAAAGATTATTCATAACAAAATATGTAAATGTAATATATAAAAAGTTTTCTTACATGAACTTTATCAATGAGATTTAAATTTTCTTCATTAGCTTTTTTCACTCGGTCTTGTAATGTATTTCTCTCATCAGTTAGTTTTGTCACGTCCTCGGAGAGAGAAACTACTTTGGCATCTGAATCTTCATTGCTGGTATTTGATATTGATTGCTGTCCGAGAACAAAAGAAAACACCATTAAACATAATTAAATATATGAAGGTATTTTTCATTTTCAAGGGGCTTGGTTAAGTGAAGTCGAATTAAAGTAATGATGACAGAGTATCTCATAGAGTAATTTTTCCCAGCTTAACAACAAATGCTCCATATTAAGTACTAGGTACTGAGTTAAATAGAAACAGGCTGAATTGTTTTATCATATACAACAATTCAAAAACTAGCACATTTGACCACTTGTAAATGAATGGCTGACATAAAACTTACAAAACAACTACGTTAATCTATAGGTTTAAGTTAAACAAACCTGGGCTTATTATACATACTCACTCAGTATTTTGTAATGAAACAAGGGTCAAAAATAAAAACTAGTAGATAGTCCTTTTAACATAAAATCCCGAAATGTCACAGGTATAAATTAAGATAAATACCATAAAATCTATGTAATAACTTAACCTACAGGGGTCAACAGAATCTATCAAGGTGATCATTACAGACAAAGATCAGCCTGCATATCTGTGCCATCTATTATGATCTGTCTGTTATTCAGTATGTACCAATTTCTAAAACTTTCCCAAAAAATGATGGTTTTATCTAGATTAAAAGCTGGAGGAATCCTTAATATTCGGGGTTGGTTATAAAGATTGAGATAATACATTGTTTTATTATAGTGAAGAATATTAACTTACCACTTGCTGTAATTGAGTTTGTAACTGACTACACTCAGAATTTAGTTTATTAATTTCTGCGTCTTTATTTGACAGTTCAACACGCAATTCATGTAAATCTGTATTTAACCTATTAACAGTTTGTTGTAACACTGCTGTTTCACTGGGATTATTTTCTTTATCCTCTTCACCCATTTCCTGAGCAACAACCCTTGCCTCTACTACAGATAAATCTGTTTTCTGTGGTAAATAAATTCACAATGTTAACATGTCTGTCAGAAAGATGGGATATTCATAATAATTGTACACCATATATAATGAAGTCATCTTTGAGAGACATTCCAGGAAAGCAATTTGTAATTCCACATCAAAATCTTAACAAGCTGATACTATTGTAAAAATTACAAATTAAAATTTTTCACCTTGTGATTTATGACAAATTCAATTTATATCCTTACTAAAAATCTTCTGATTAAATTTGTTTTTAGTCACATTTACATTTTGTTTACAGTTAACATGACAGACATAGTTTCAATATGACTCTCTGGGCATGCATCTTGTTAGAAAAGTTTATCTTTTACATCTTTATTGGATATTTTTCTAACAAGAAACAAGGGTAATCCATGGCAGGATTCAAATCTCTATTAGTTAGATATATACAGTATCATTCAACCATGTTTGATAGGATACTTACTAATTTTTCTATATGTGATTCTTTTTCTGATAATTGTAAACTAAGGGACTGTACTCTATCATTTAAAGTTCTAACTTCTTCATCTTTATCACCATCAGAAGTTTTAGAACCTGCAACAAAATATAAATACTCAATGACACAACATCTATGTACAATGTTTTAACAGAAAAAGTGATAAACAATATTTTTTTTCTTAAAATGGTCAAGGTTTCCATGTTTCTTAAAACTATTTTTTAAAAGCATATTACATACATATTATTACTTACTCAATAGCAGAATATTTTATAAGTACACAATTTCATGAGCTGATAGAATATGTCTTGTACATTACCAAAACTACTGAAAAAATTTTAACAACCAGCTTAACTTAAGTCTTGGAGAAAAACACAACATTTTTCACTAAAAATTTGAAGACAAATCTCTATAAAAAATAAAATTTAATATGATGAACTCTTTAACAGTATTTCAATCAATGTAGAATCTGACTTGATAAAAAATTCATATTCTAATGAAGTCTTCAAGTTGATACCTTTTGTGGCTTTTAATAAAGCATTTTGGTCTTTTAGCTGTTGAATTTGTTGAGCATAATCTTCTAACTGTTTTTTAGCCTTTCTATATTCCCCTTCTATAGACTCTAACCGGCCCTGGCAATCTTTTAATCTCTCATCCTGTAATTATAGCAATATTTGAAATGTAAAATCACAAACATAATCATGTTCCATTACAAAAATTTAAGTTAACAAATAAGGTTTGGTTTAAAGTATGATGTATGTAATAATGTATGTATGTAATAATATACATTGAAATGCTTTCAAAATAAAAGGAAACTTAAATAACATTTTAATAGAATTCAATTTGAATTATAGTGTAAATTTTTAGCAGATACATGTATTTGTCTGCCTTATTTTTACGCAGATTTTCACAAATTTTTGGCCATATAGCGGGAATAAGTCCATCTTACCGGCTTTCTTGAATACCAGTAATGAGCAATTTCTGTGCAAGTGACAGACTACTAATCCTACATGATTTATGGTTCAGCAATGAGAGACAGACAACTATTATACTCAATGTCTGAAATCAAATGTTATGGAGAAAATTTGCTTCGTTCTTGGATCTAACCAACAACCTCTAAACAAATCTGAAGCTCTAATGAGCTAAGCAGGGGACTAGGTACACTTTAATATACATGAAATTTCCTATTAGAAATATAACAGTTGTAAATGTATGAAACTTGAGCTCACCTGTTCTTGAATTAAGTCTTTATATTGTGTAACTATACTTTCATGTTCCTTCAGATTGGCCAACTGTTTCTTACTTTCTTCTCTATTATTAGATGATAAAGCTTTTAATATGTCATCTGAAATAACAGGTAGAGATATAGTAGTTATGCATCTCACCGTCAGGCTGTTATACATAATGATAATAATGTAACAAGATAGCCATGATGGCCCATAACTGCTCGCCTGGTGATATGGTTTACAAGATTTAAATATTCATAACCAGTATAACTACTTTGTACATTTTTCCTCAGAGTCAAAAATATTGGTCATGATTTTAGTCTAAGAAAACCTCCAAGAGTCAAAAGAAATATCATTACAGAATTGACTTTCTTCTACAAATTTCTTTTACAATCAAAAATTTAATTTTTTACAGAAAATTTTTGTAAAATATACATAAACCACATTTTACAAAAATTTATAGACATTATATTTTCTATTTAATTTGTCAATAAAAATAAAGTTTACTTACGTTCTACACTTTTAAACAATCTACAAAACTCGTAGTCAAAAACAACTTCACTAGCTTGTTTATAATTAATGTGAGGTTTTTTTATAGCTCGTGTATAACTCTCTGACTTGGTGACTTGAGTTAGTTTGTTTGTGAAAGCCTCTAACCCTATCCTCTTCTCAATAATCTGTCGCAATGATGCCCTGAAAATATAATGTCATAATCAAACTTACATCTCATAATATCTTAATTAATTTTTAGTTTTGCATAAGGCCATTAGACAAAGTAAAGGCCGTATATTGATTTTCAAAACTATATTGATGGAGGAAAACTTCAGGTGTGTTTTCATGCAGTCTTTCAGGGATGAGAAATAACCAAAGTATATCCATACAGCCTTCTAGCAAGTCATTAGTTTGTTTTAGAAAAATGAAAATGAATATTTACAAATTACAAAAAAAATATTCCGCCTTCAAGAATTGGCAATTTTAACAGAAATTTAAGCTACATAGGACTAGTAGATATGAAGGTTAGCAAGTAATTCAAAGTCACAGTAATAAATGATATGATCTGGATTCATTATTTACCACCAGTATACATTGTTGTTTGCATTCTCCAACATTATATCCATGCTTATCAACCTATGACCCATCAAAAAGTTAAGTGGTAACTTTTAAAATAAACAATACATTTGACATAAAGTAAATCAAGTTTTAAAGGGATTTTTTCTCTTTTTTCTTTATCCCCACTTTCATACAAGCATATTTAATATAATTCCTCTTCTGTAAGAGTATATACATACGTAGTGAATGTTTCGTTCTGGTCATCATTACTAAGTAGACATATACCAAGGAGGAAGGCACACAATCCTTGAACATTCTGTTCATTTTCATCACCATCAGATGATGACACCTGAGAGATCAGCTGTTATAATGTCAAGGTCATCAATGTTGGTTTGTTTCAAGTTTCGTTTACTTATATCCATAATCTTTAAATTTGAAAGATTTCATTTAATAATGTCAATTTGAAAATTCTTGACCTCCTGTTTGATTTGACAATTTAAGGCAGCTATAACAATGAACTATCTACAGTTCTAATTGGGAATGGGGGGATGTAAGTCACATTGCAGGATGACTTAACCCGTAAGTGCATGAGCATTTTGTGAAAAATGGCTGTTTTCATTGAAAAGCCTCCTGTTACAAGTTCAAATTGCTATGGAACTATAAAAGATGCTTCAATTTTCATTAAACTTGGCACAAATGTTGACTGAGCCATAGCTTTTGTAACAGTATGCTCAATCTGAAATTTCCTAGTAATTAAGACCACAAATTTTAGTTTTAAAAAGACAGACGTTTCCCAGTTAATTATCAAAATTGCATGTAATAGTAGACCTTCAAGTAGAACTACAACCTCCATAAAGTTGTGTTTACCTTCCCTTACATTTCTTTTTTTATGACATAGAGCTTCACCTTGATATTCTTTTTCAGTTTGAAATTTCAGTTGTAGATACAAAAATATAGCCGTTACTCATATTTTTTCTTCTTACAATAATTTAATTTCTGAACCCTTTCTTTAATTCACTGAATTATTCATTTGATTAAACATGGCATAAAAATGTTTCAACAACTACCATTCTTTGATGCATAATATATAAAGGATACATAAGGAACATTTGCCGTGTTGAAGAGGAAGTGTGAGACAGCTGTAGGACAATCTGCCATCCAGGTAGCCAGTAACATCAGGATACCCAGTCTTGTTTGAACACGTCCACCCTGAAATTATATATTCAGTTATATTCTTTATGAAATTCAGAAATAAAAGTAGAAAAAAATTACAATATAAGATATGGTAAAGCTTTATAGAATAAGCATTGATAAATTAAAGGCCTCCAATGAATTCAAAGTTTCTGAACATTTTTCAATTAAGATATTACTCATATTAAGTGACTGTAAAGCAAAACTTATGACAGCTTGATCTTTCAAACTGCAAAGAAGAAGTCATCAAACATCAAATTGTAAAGCAACTCACAACCAATTTGATTAACTTAATTTCCATTCTCCACCAATTTCAATCAATTCCTTGACAATGTCATTTATAATGATCTAATGTATAAAACATGCCCTACGCAAATATTTTACATGCATGCGTGCAGTGATGTGATAGATTTAATTACTTCTTTATGGAATGCATGTTAAGACTGTCTGCCAATTTAAGGAATAAATACCGGTAGTCGCAGAATAATCTAAAGAAATGAAAGAGCTGAAGTTAAGCTATGTACAAATAGAGTAAGTTTAAGAAAACGTGGACATTTTGGATCGTTTCATCACTAGCCAATAAATCCATTATTTTACACATGGATAATGTGAGGAAATATAAATTTATATATAAGGTAAATATGAATGAAATACCTGAGCTACTATATTACAGCACTGTTGTAAAAGAGAGACAGGTGGATTACCAAGACTGGTTGCTAGCTGTACACGTAACAACTGCTCTTTCTGTGTAGCATTATCTGATATAGCATTTAACATAGCTACTGCAGCAAACCAATTAGATAATGAATCTGTACTAAATAGTCCACCACACAACAACTGACCAGCTGATATTGTGTTTACTGAAAGATAGAAAGGTTTGAAAAAATTCAGCATATGCTCTTCTGTTACTTCATCTCATTTTTTTTTTTCTATTAAATGAAAGGTAATTACAAATCTAAACATATTTTGTCATCTGTCTAGCGTTATTGAAAATCAAAACAATCTAGAAGTGTTGTAATGAATAATTATTGTTTTATCATTGACTGATTATTATAAAAGATCGACTAACCATCAGCAGAAGTAGGTAACAAAGTCTGTACAATTTGTGACTGGCCTACTTCATTTTTATAGAGGAATGACTGGAAGCAGTAAAGTACAGCACAGCGGAGAGTAAATGGTTGTTTCTCGTTTACCATTGACATGAGCAGTACAACAATAGCTGGTCTGAAATAATACAAGTTGGTCAAGTCACATATAGATTAAAATATAAAACTATTTAACAAGTTGTCAATGGGTAACCAGGGTCATAAAGGACATCAATTAAGCTTTACTACTTCTATTTCTACTTCTAACTAAATCATTGTTTTCCTTCAATAGGCTAAAAATTAAATGAAATGAACAATTCTAAATAATTTACTACAAATCATAATCAACGTTTCTTTTGTAAAATGTGCAAACCTGAAACTAAACTGTCCAAGTATTTAAAGATAAATATACATATTTTGAATCAGTCAATTGTCCCCCAACCCAACAAACCCTTGCAGGATTTTGGGTATAGTTGGAGTGAAATTGGCCAGTTTTTAACTTCTTTGATGTGTCACTAAACACCTCGGTCAATGCATTTGATTGCTTTGTTGCCAAAATAGTGGGGTATATGTCAATATTACACTGCAAATTTACCAGGGATTTGTTAATCCAAAAGTCCCCATAATTATACCAGGGATGTGGTGGCCTGGGTTACAATAATGCATTACATAATCAAACCTGAATATTTTATAACTTCTCTTAACAATTAATCAACAAAACATCAGTATAAATGTCTGATGAAAAATACAAATCCTAAGATAATGTAATTATATCACTTCAGAATGTAGCACTAATAAAATAATTCTTAAATCATTGTTACTGTAAATATCTTAAAAGAGGAGGTCCAAGGTATATCTTCAATTCTATACAGTTTCTAAATTTATAAACAAATAATCTTACTTATGAGGTTTGATTTATACCATATTTCTTTGCTTAGTTGAATAATAGTTAAAAATAAATGTATGACAAACTTAGAAATAACTTAAACATAAAACATCCCAAAAAAGAATGTTACACAGTTATAAATAACTTAAATAAAATTAACAACAAGAGCTGTCGGTAGGACAGCATGCTCGACTATTCTTAGTGCTTGATAGTAAAAAAAATGCCTGATACAGTTACCTCCTCCTGTTTACAGGTTGGGGTCATGATGGTGAACAAGTGTGCAAAGTTTCAAAGCCATATGTCAATGGACTTTAAAAATATTTGAACTATTACAAAAACTTTAACGTAAATTCTAAGTCGAAAAAGGGCATAATTCTGTCAAAATGCTTGATAGAGTTACCTCCTCCTGTTTACAGGTTGGGGTCATGATGTTGAACAAGCGTGCAAGGTTTCAAAGCCATATGTCAATGGACTTTGAAAATATTTGAACTATTACAAAAACTTTAACGTAAATTCTAAGTCGAAAAAGGGGCATAATTCTGTCAAAATGCTTAATAGAGTTACCTCCTGCTGTCTACAGGTTGGGGTCATGATGTTGAACAAGTGTGCAAAGTTTCAAAGCCATATGTCTATGGACTTTGAAAATATTTGAACTATTACAAAAACTTTAACGTAAATTCTAAGTCGAAAAAGGGCATAATTCTGTCAAAATGCTTGATAGAGTTACCTCCTCCTGTCTACAGGTTGGGTCATGATGGTGAACAAGTGTGCAAAGTTTCAAAGCCATATGTCAATGGACTTTGAAAATATTTGAACTATTACAAAAACTTTAACGTAAATTCTAAGTCGAAAAAGGGGCATAATTCTGTCAAAATACTTGATAGAGTTACCTCCTCCTGTCTACAGGTTGGGGTCATGATGGTGAACAAGTGTGCAAAGTTTCAAAGCCATATGTCAATGGACTTTGAAAATATTTGAACTATTACAAAAACTTTAACGTAAATTCTAAGTCGAAAAAGGGGCATAATTCTGTCAAAATGCTTGATAGAGTTACCTCCTCCTGTCTACAGGTTGGGGTCATGATGGTGAACAAGTGTGCAAAGTTTCAAAGCCATATGTCAATGGACTTTGAAAATATTTGAACTATTACAAAAACTTTAACGTAAATTCTAAGTCGAAAAAGGGGCATAATTCTGTCAAAATGCTTGATAGAGTTACCTCCTCCTGTCTACAGGTTGGGGTCATGATGGTGAACAAGTGTGCAAAGTTTCAAAGCCATATGTCAATGGACTTTGAAAATATTTGAACTATTACAAAAACTTTAACATAAGTGGTTACGCCGACGCCGACGCTCGGGTGACTGCAATAGCTCTACTTATTCTTATCGAATAGTCGAGCTAAAAATGTTTAAAAAAATGTTAACCCCAAAAGGAAATATACATATTGCTATATATTTGAAAACCATGTTTCCACTTTTTGTAATTAAACATACATACATAAGACTTGGGTAGCTACAAAAATTACATAAAATTCTACTAGAGAAATCTCTAATAAACAAAATAAATAAAGCCAACATTAATGATAATGATGCATGACTTTTTGCTACTTAGTACTATTCTCTCTAAAACCCATGATGTTTTTCTTTTTTTCTACAAAATTTGCACCCATTCTTTTTTTAACTTTTAATTTTGGTGTCTTCCCAAAAAGTTTCCCATTGGCCATATAGCTCTGCTTCTTCTACTTTTGACAATCAGTACAGTTATAGTGACTTAGTATTTTAAATGAAGGTCAAAATACCAATTTGTTCACATTATCCTACTTTGGGTCATATTCCCATTTGAAAATAGTATATTATTTCCCCAATCCACAGGAAAATATTCCCAATTTAAAGTTACAAAATAAAAATATTGAATAAAGAACTCTATAATTTTTGAAAATAAGGGCTTCACCACAGTAATAGTGCTTAAATGTTTGAAGGTGCCATCCTAGACAGTGATTGTTTGCATTCCTTTAATCACTGCAAAATTTCATTCATTTATTTTCCCCCCAATTTTTATCAAAACATTGTTGAAATTCCCAAGTCCATGGATATGGGTCATGTAGCTAAAATCCTGGAAAAAATCCCCGATTTTACATTCAGCACAACTTGTAGCAGGTAATAAGCATCTTACATGTTCTAAATCACTTATTATGACATTATAAAACACACAAAAGAACAAATTATTCATTTCTGATGCTTAATGAGCCTTAAACTTAATACAAGATTTCACAAAACATTGGTTATCTGAATGTAAAATATGACATTGTAAATGAAACTTTTTTCCAACAGGAAATAAAAGCTGAAGGCTGCTTTAATCTACCTTTATATGCTCTTCTATATATCATCAAAACAAATAATTTTATTGAATTATTCAAGAATTTGAAGCTGAGTTGTTGGGTTAGACTATTAGATACCGTACCTTGGTGGATTAGATGGAGCCATCACTGAAGCAAAGTATTCCTGGTTTTGTAGATTCCCTCTGATAACTTCAGCTACAGTGTTTATAGTCTACAATAAAGTAATGTATCTGTGTATACATTATAACTCACATACAATAATGTTTATAAAACAACATCAACAAACACACAATTACTACATCATAATCAATCAAGATTTAACAAATAATGTTTATATCTAATGCTTTTACAAAATGAAACGTCTTTAAGATTGAAATTATAATACATCAACTGCATGAATTTAGCAACTTCAAAGAACTAAGTGATCAAGTTAAAATAAAACAGTGTCGAGCATAATATTATTTTATTCAATGAGTTCAATAAATTCAGTAATGAACTTACACAAATTTAATATTCTATTTATCACATACCCAAAATAAAGACAGTTTAAAGTGAAATAAGAGTCATTTTTCATTGACGCGACTATAGTATAACGCTAACATTTATCGCGCCTTTACGTTATGTTTGTATAACGCTAATGACGTCACGTCAAAATATATGCACAGCCGTGCAATACCATATAAACAGAGTCGCAAAATCGGCAAGGGTATGTGATAAATAACAAAGTAAAATACTCAAGTACACTTCCATTTAAGTATTTGCTTTTTCTTTTAGAATATATTGTTTCATGTATATTAAGTATGAGCAATTTGTAATGAAATACATGATTGTACAAGTGAACACTCTCTGTTTATGTTTTGTTTTAGGGCACACCAACACAGTATAGGTCATATGACGCAGAAACAAACAGCAAAGATGATTTTGACTAACCTCGGGTGTTACAAACTTTAAAGTAACACCATGGGTCAAATCACCTCGCTTGAGCTAAAAGATGCATAGACTCCAGTTTTTTTAACCCGCTTAGTTGCATTTTACGATCAGGCAGAGATAAATGGTGTCTGCAATTCGTATGCCTAAACTATTAAAGGCAAACCCTCAACCACAAGGGACAAGTGAACACATTTATATGTATAATTTACCTCTGTGAGAACATCAGCTGGTACACCACTGGCCATCAATATTGTACACAATTGTTGCACCAGACCACATGTATACATTGTCTTCTGACAGTTAGTGTTGAGTTGTTGTGGATTACTGGGCGATACAAGTGACCTCACAAGCTGAATAACATCAACATTATAATAGTCATTACTTTATAGTTCCTAGCACAATAACTCCTGATTTACACAAAAAATTATATTAATTAAAAAATGTGTTTGCCTAAAAACAGTCTTTGCAACAATTAATCATCTGATTTTGTTTAAAAGGAGGCAATGAAATATGGACATGGTTGTGAACTAATCTGAAACTTGTATTTCTATATTCTGTAGTTTCACATAACCATTATGATGATGCATTTTGAAATAACTTGTAGTTCAAGTGTTATCTACGTATCTATGTACAAGAGAAAAAAATTAACATAAACATTACCTGTAAAACTAGATGTATATTTGTAACTTTCTGAGCAGACCAGCCAACCTGTGATCTATGTGGATCTTGCTCAAGGTCAAAGAATGGAGTCAGATATTTGACATGGCTGCCCTCTCGGAAAAAGTTTTGGTTTGAGGAATTATTTTTCAACAGGTTAAGTAACAGAAGTAAGCAGTCCTCAACAACTATGCCTGAAAGGGAAACAACCTCTTAATAATTAATAAATAATTAATATGTCATACATCTAATCTTCATTTTCATTCTAATAAAAAGTACATATTCTAATAATACTAACACTTTCTATTAAATTTATCAGATGTTTTGTTTATTCAAGATCTAAACTTTGCTTAAATCCTAAAAACAAATATGCATTCTAAATATATTTAATATACCAGAAATTATTGAATATATATTGTAGTTTGAATGATTTTAGTTTGCAAATTTCATCAAGAATGTGTAACAAACCTCCATCTATTCCGCCTTCTTCATGTATAATATCAAGGAGACGTTCAAAAGCATTTTCAAATGCTACAATCTTCTGGATATTTGCATTGCTTCTCGTCAATTGGTTCAACAACAAAAGAGCCTGATAATATAACACAATAAAATCTCAATACTCTTTCTATATTGATACTTATATGATAGAAACATATTTCAATTCCATGGGAACTGTATTACCCATAAACAGTGATGTTTCTCCTGCAGTAAATGTATTAAATTAAATAATTTATTCAAATGAAATTTATTACGAAGGAGGTTCAACAGATGTACTTTTATATTAGAACTAATGAATATATCAGCTAAGGAAAGAGAAATACTTTTAGAACTTTTCCTGCAACATTAAAGTTTAAATGAATCTAAAATTTAAACTATGCAATCAAATATTTTTTAGTTTAGTAACAACATAATGAGCACTTACATCATTTCTAATGATTTCCCGGCTATCAGACAAAAGGTCCATTAATTTGGAAACTCCCATTGGATGAACTAGTATACACTCCTGTAGATCTTTACATTTGTTAGTCAACAATATGGTGATTAACTTCACTGTCGGCCATCTCACATGGAAGTCATACTCCTTTAAATTAAAGGTTTTAATATCAAAATCAAGGTTAACAAAACTAAGTTTGTAAAAGGAATATTTCCAAATAATGTTTCATTACCAGTCCTGCAAATACCTACAAGTGACCTTGACTTTGCTCTAAGATATCTTAGTAGCAATCCCAAGCTGCATCTTAACATAAGCTACCCAGCAAATTTGCTGTCAACAGGTCACAGCTAACTCAAGTTATTAATATTATGTTGAAAATGAATTTCTATTTTCTGCAACAGCGACCTTGACCTTAATCATAGTCACCTGGGTAGTAATCCCAAATAGCATCTTGATATAAGCTAACCACATACTAAGTATGGTGTTGAACTGTCAATAGGTCAAAGCAAACTGAAGTTATTCAGTGGAAACTTAATTTCTATCTTTAGCAACAGTGACATTGATCAAACACATCTGGGCAGTTACCCCAAGCTGCCTCTTGAAATAAGCTACCCAGTTACAAAGTTTGGCATCAATATTAAGCAAACTGAAGTTACTGAGCAGAAACTTAATTTCTATTTTTAGCAACAGTCACCTTGATCACAGACACCTTGGCAGCAATCCCAAGTTACCTCTTGATATAAGCTACCCATACACCAAGTTTGGTGCCAAAAGGCCAAAGCAAACTCAAGTTATTGAGATGAAACCAAAAGTTGAGGCTCACCTGCATACTTAAGAATTACAGTAACTGGTTTGTTAAGAATTATAGATATAATTTTACCTCCAACAGTGACAGTAGAAGTCCAACATTGTCTGATTTCTTTATAAAGATTTCTGTAAATTGAGCACCTAAATCATCTGGTCCTTGGAACTGTACTTCCTCTTCTAAAACATAAATTGACAAAAAAATAACAAAAGTCAGCATGTTGTAGATAATAACAATTAAAATATCAAAAAATTAATTTTTTTCACTATCAAATCATTTTTAATGAGCATAACTGTTTAAACAGGCTTGTTGTCAGTATTGTGCAAAGTGTGACATAAAACTGTACAGAATAGAAGAAATCTGAGACTATATCTTAGCAATAAAAAAGGTAAAACAATATATATATAGTTCTTGTACTATTGTATACTTATATATCAGTTTGTAAGATGTATTTGAATCTTTGAAGTGGTACATAACTGAGCAGATTTTCTTTGTAAAAATGCAGTAATCAACTAGTTCAGGCTTGAATGTGGTTTCTATCAATATATGTATACTAATTAATAGTCAGCTTACCATCATCCGTTGGTTCATTTGACATGACATTACAAAAGGCATCTAATGCATAACCAGTTATTTCAGAATCTGACCTGTCCGATTCCAAGACGTGAAGAAGTGTTTCCATTGCCTGAGTTCCAACCTCAAGCCGAAATTTCTGAAAGAAACAAATTAAAATTCTAATATTAAATATATTTTCAACATGTTAAATCAGTCATAGTACAAACTTGCAAATCTGTCTAATCATAACTACCCAACAGAATTAAAATAATGGTTCATATTTTTCATGTGTACAAAGCAACTTGACCAGACCGGCACATTTTGTGTTCTTGTACCCAGGTATTTTTTTCCAGTATTTTGGGAACATGACCCATACCCTTGAATTGGGAATTTTAGCGGTGTTTTGCTAAAAATTGGGAAAAATATTTGACTATAATTTTAAAATTTCCATTTATTTTAAATGAAAAACAAAGATGCAATGATATTTTATCAACACAAATTATCATAAGCACATAGCAGTCCTTAGCACAGCATACTTAAGTTTGCAATCATTCAGTCTCATTAACAAGCTGTTTCCTATGCAAATGTAATACATCTAAATATTGTTGTTTTTTTAGCTGTGATTCTTGCAATTAATGAACAGTAAAAGTTCTAAAATCCATAATGATAATTCAAATTCTATCACATCTGATTGATATTTTAATAGCCAATAAATCATTTAATACATTTATTATTAATTACTTTCATAAGTAACGCTGATAACAAGTGATAAACAACAACAACAAACTGGCAAATTTATAAGGGGATAATGTAAATCAAATACATTAATATATGTTTCATGTAACTTAATTATCAATTAGCTTGCTTTAATTACCATCAGCCATTCAGGGTCTTCTACAGTTTTAACACCTGATAATTTAAACAAAGCGCTGTTTTTAGCGATGTCAGTTACCAAGTGTAGCAATGGCTACACATCAGCGCATTTGTAAATTATGCCAGCTTACACCCCAGGCACTTTTATCTAGTAAAGAAATATATATATCTATATACATGTCAGACTTTTTCATAGAGATTTTTGGGTGATTAGAATTTCAGTTTCCTGATCAAATAGGGCAATGTGAAAATATTTTTGGCAAATTTTTCGCCCCAACTTCACCCTAAACTCGTTCCAACCAGTGTAATATGGCCTTTGCAATCGTTTTCCAAACACAGAAGTCATCATTTTTATTTTCTTTTACTTTCTTTTTTGAACTTTCAATTGGGAATTTTTGCCTATGAATTGGGGGAAAAGATACTATTTTCAATTGGGAAAATAACAAATATCAGCTATAAAATCAGCAGAAAAGAAAACTGGTACTAGACATCTTAATTGATGTATTTCTTACCCTTGATAGTGCTTTAATTGCTCTGACAGCATCCCTACGGTCTTCAAGAAGAGTAGATGAAGAAGCTCTATCAACAAGTCTCTCAACCTGGTGCAATAAATACATATCAAACAGTTATAATAGATTCTACAAAGTAATTCGCATTATTTTACTCATTCAACTTCTATTTGAATACCATATAAATATCTGACAGCTCCAGCTATCATTAGATTAAAACTGAAAACAAGAGGGCCATGATGGCCCTGAAGTCGCTCACCTGTATATAGGCCCCAAGAGAGGGGCCAGTTTAAACCCCAGGGCTTTTATTTGAACAAACTTGGTAGACACCCATTAGAAGATGTTTCATGCTAAACATCTAAGGTCTAGCTTGTTGGGTTTTTAAAAAAAAGATTTTTTCAAGTTTTTTCTTTACACATATAGTTAAAAACAATGACACACCTGGGGCAGGGCCAGTTTTGACCCCAGGGCTTTTATTTGAACAATCATTGTAGACACTTACTAGCAAATGTTTCATGCTTAATATCTAAACTCTAGCTATTCAGGTTTTTTCAAAGAAATTTTTAAGTTTTTGCTATACACAAATAAGCAAAATCAATGTCTCCCGGGGCGGGGACAATTTTGTCCCCAGGGCTTTTATTTGAACAAACTTTGTAGACACACACTAGAAAATGCTTCGTGCTTAATATCTAAACTCTAGCTATTTGAGTTTTTTTCAAAGAAGATTTTTAAGTTTTTGTTATACACATATAAGGAAAATCAATGACCCCTGGGGCGGGGCCAATTTTGACCCCAGGGCTTTTATTTGAACAAACTTGGTAGACATCCATTAGAACATGTTTCATGCTAAATATCTTAGCTCTAGCCCTTTCGGTTCTTTAAAAGAAGTTTTTTAAAGTTTTTACTTTATGCATATAGGGAAAATCAATGACCCCCGGGGCGGGGCCAATTTTGACTCCAGGGCTTTTATTTGAACAAATTTTGTAGACACTTACTAAAAAATGCTTCGTGCTTAATATCTAAACTCTAGCTATTTGAGTTTTTTCAAAGAAGATTTTTAAGTTTTTGTTATACACATATAAGGAAAATCAATGACCCCTGGGGCGGGGCCAATTTTGACCCCAGGGCTTTTATTTGAACAAACTTGGTAGACATCCATTAGAACATGTTTCATGCTAAATATCTTAGCTCTAGCCCTTTCGGTTCTGTAAAAGAAGTTTTTTAAAGTTTTTAGTATATGCATATAGGGAAATCAATGACCCCTGGGGCCGGGCCAATTTTGACCCCAGGGCCTTTATTTGAAAAAACTTGGTAGACATCCATTAGAACATGTTTCATGCTAAATATCTTAGCTCTAGCTCTTTGGGTTCTTTAAAAGATTTTTTTTAAGTTTTTACTATATGCATATAGGGGAAATCAATGACCCCCTGGGGCGGGGCCAATTTTGACCCCAGGGCTTTTATTTGAACAAACTTGGTAGACACACACTAGAAGATGTTTCATGCCAAATATCTAAGCTCTAGTTGTTTGGGTTTTTTAGAAGAAGATATTTAAAGTTTTTTCTTTTGGTTGCCATGGCAAACAGAGCTCTGCATGGAATTAAATTCTTTGAACAATTTTCAAAGGTGACCACCAAAGGAACATTCCTGTGAAGTTTGGATGAAATTGGCTTAGTGGTTTATGAGGAGATGTCATTTAAAGTAAGTTTATGGACGCTAGACGGACGCCGGACAAAAGCGATCACAGAAGCTCACCCTGTCACTTTGAGCTAAAAAGGCTTATAATTTATTGTTATATAGATTATTTACATTTACAAGGGGGCCCTGGATCGCTCACCCGAGAAATATTTTAAAGTGGAGCCCCTTTTCACCCCATGAGGAATAGGGAAAAGATAAAACATTGCGAAAAAAACGCCGGTTTACAGTACATAAGCAAAATCAATGACCCCAGGGGAGGAGCCAATTTTGACCCTATGGGTTTTATTTCAACAAACATGGTAGATATATACTAGAACATGTTTCATGCCAAATATCTAAGCTCTTACTCTTTTAGATTTTTACAAGAAGATTTTTTAAGTTTCTACTATTTACATGTATATATATAGAAAGTCATATTCTGAATTCAAAGGCCCGTCGATCTTACAATCTTCTAACTTTTACAGGCCTCAATTGGAGTTTACAAGCCTCGGGCATCGGGCCTGTGCCTTATTACATAGAGGAAGGAGAAGGGCCCACGAAAATGTTGTTTGAACTTTTGGCCCAACCCTTTTGTATGTACACTTGATTATGTCTGTAAAATAATAACCTTGTATAACGTGTGTTTATTTATACGCGGAAAGTCCAAGCGGGGCCAAAGGCCCCGCGAGGGCCGTAGCGCTCTAAGATAACATGTATGACGCTTATCAATTCAAATGAAATCAAATTAAAAGTAAATGAAAATTTCAAAAAAATATATAATTATCCTATACCTAATGAGCTGTGAAAAAATCCTTAGTTAACAGGGCGCCGCCATTTTGAAATCCTTTTGAGCTAAATATAGATATCAGAGCGCTTTTAATGAGCGTCTACATAATTCGGACTATTGCTAGCAGACGCATGCTAAAAAACACTTCCGGTGAAAGAAGGATGTATAAAATCAGAAAATAAACATGCATTTCATTTATAAGAACTATAATAACGATTATAATAAAGTTACTTTAACATATCCTTTTTGATAAATTAGCACATCAAAAAATAACGTTAAAACAATAACTGTTATTAGAGATTAACAAAAAATGGCGGACAGGATTTTCCAAACACCGTCGCATGCGCAGTGGTCCCCCTTTACATTTGGAGATTTTCGGAATATTCCGAGCACTCCGATGATAGGTTGAACACCACCAATTTATTTGTTTTGTTTATTTTCTTTTTCCCGGGGTAATTTGCGGGGCCCCCTCGGGAAAGAAATCGTCGCCAATTGTGACAAATTTACATGAGTAAAGGGGGAAACTTTCAATTTCAGCAAAAAACGGGGTTAAAAAACACCTGCCCCAAAAGTTCCCCTCGTGCATCGCCCCAATCCTCGTTTTGGGAACCTTTTTAGGGAGGGGGTGCCCATCAGACTTCTGGTGGGGCCTGTTCCAAAGTGGGGACCCCAAAAGGGAAAAAGAACGGTATTGTAATGATTTGGGACACGGGAAAAAAGGGGTTGTAGGTATTTGTTGGGCAGGGCCCCCGGGTGTGTATCCGGGCAGGGTCAGTATGTGTGGGCTCGGATTTTCCACCAGGCTTTTAAATGATTTCTGTAAAATTTTTCACTGTTTTGGGTTTGCTGAGGCGGGTTTTCGGGGGAGTGTCCCAGCTTAGAGCTTCCATCATTGCCAGTAACGCTGCTGGTGGGTGACGATAATCACCTGTGCAGAACCTGGCTGCTCTTCGTTGGCAGTTCTCGAGCTTACTGATGTTGGCCTTGGTGTGTGGGTCCCATACCGACGAAGCATACTCGAGCTGAGGTCTAACCAGTGTTTTGTAACATGTCGCCTTGATGTTCTGTGGACAGTTGTGATAAGTTTCTGCGTAGAAAGGCAGTGGTGGTGTTCGCCTTCTTTGCAGTAGCGTCAATGTGGCTGTTCCAGGAAAGCGTATTGTCAAGTGTGACACCCAGATACTTTGCCTTGTTCGTCTGCTTGAGTGTTTGGCCATGGATGGCATAGGACCAAGTTATCACTTTCCGCTTGTTGGTAAATGCGAATCATCTCACACTTGTCGGGATTAAACATCATCAACCAGTCTTGCTCCCAGTCTTGTAGGCGGTCAGATCCTGTTTGTAGTGCAATGCTGTCTTCCTTCAGAGCTGATGGTCCTATATAGTAGGCAGTCATCTGCGAAGAGGTGTGCTGTGGAGGAGACCCTGCCCGGCAAGTCGTTAATGTAGACTAGAAACAAGAGAGGCCCTAGGACTGTGCCTTGCGGGACTCCTGATGTGACTGGTGCTGGAGAGGATGTCTTCCGCTTTGAGTACTACTTGTTGTTGACGGTGTGAGAGGAAGCTGTTGATCCAACCCAGAGTCCTTGCCTCTGATCCCATAGTGGTGAAGCTTGGCCGAGAGACGTCGATGGGGGACCTTGTCAAACGCCTTGGAGAAGTCTAGTAAGATGGCGTCGATCTGCTGTTGTTGTTCAGGCCCGTTGCAAGGTCTGGACTGTGGTGATCAGTTGCGTCTCGCATGATCTCTTCTTCCGAAGCCATGTTGCATATCGGAGAGGATGTTGTTCTGATCGAGGAAACTGATCACGTGGCTATGGACAATGTGCTCCATTTTGCAACAGATGGATTGTCAGCAGAGCTGGGGATAGTTTGAAGGGTTACTTTTGTCTCCCTTTTGAATAATGGTGTGACTAGTGCGCCCTTTTCCAGTCTTGGTTACTTGGCCTCTCGATTGTGTGAAGCTTGGAATAATGAGTGTCCAGCATTGGGAATATGGCTTGAAGCCATTTCCCCTTCGAAATTCTGGATGGATTGGTCCCGGTCCGTGGGGCCTTGGGTGGGGTTGAATTCTCCAGGAAGCTTCTTGACCATCCCTTCTCATGGGATCTGCAGTTTGGAGGGGCTGTTTCTTGAAGGTTAGGGGCCCATGTTCGGTGGCTCTTCACAATTCCCTTCTTCGGTAAAGACGCGGACGGAGAATTGGGCAATTTGAGAATCTTCTGCTTTGGCACATGGGTCGGAATGGCTGATGCCATCTTTCTTGAGTGGTGCAACGCCTGAGCTGTCACTCTTCATGCTCTTGACGTACGAGTAGAGCTTTTTGTTATTGGTACCAGGGCTCACTGACCATGTTCCTAACATACTTGTTCCTGGTTTCTCGGCACTTTTGTTGATTCTGTTTCTGGATGCTCCTGTAAATGTCCCAGTCTGTCTGGTTCTTTTGATTTTCTGGCTTTCCTGTAGGCTCTTTTCTTCTTTCTGGCTAGACGCCTTATCAGTCGGTTACACCAGGGTTGATTGAATCTTGTGGATGTCAGTTTAGATGGCACAAACTCATCGATGGTGTCTGAGCACTTCTTCTTGAAGCTGGTCCACAGGGTGTTAATTGGGGTGCTCGAGTTGTGTTCCTGTATAAAATGTTGGGAGAAGTTGTTGAGATCTTCGTTCATGGCCGGTATATTAGCTTTTTTCCATATAAGTAAATACGACGTTGGACTGGTTTCTGGCGTCTGGGAACAATATCAGAGTCCACAGTCACAATGTCATGGTCACTTATGCCAGGAATGGAAGAGCATCTTTCCACCAAGGTTGGTCTGTTCGTGCAGAAAATGTCAAGTGTGGTTGTCGTTACGTGTTAGGAAAATTTACTATCTGTTCGCTGCCAATGTTCATTAAAATGTTGTCAATGAAGGTCTGGTTAATGGAACGGGAATACTGGTGGCCCCGGATGTTGTCTGTTGACGCCAATCTATATCTGGAAGGTTTGGCATCCCCGCCCAGCCAGATGGAACTGTTCCTATTCTTTGAGTTGAGATTCTGGATTTCTTTGCAGAGGTCTGTTGCATAAGATATGTTGTTATCTGTGGGACGGTAAAGGCAGCCGATGATAATAGGCTTCTTCGAGCTTGTGGTGTTAAACGATGCAGCAACAAACTCAGAGGTATCGCTATTCAGTACTTCGGTGGCTTCCATGTCTTGCTTCGCTATAATCGCCACACCACCATACCGTATAAGTGGTTTTTTCTGCGGGCTCCAAATTCTGCGGTTTTTCAAAATTTTGGCATGTTTTTTTTTCTGCGGACTTTATTTCTGCGGGACATTCTTTGGACAAAACATGATTTAAATTCTGCGACTCGTCTTATCAAAGTCTAAGTTCACATTACCCTATCTATTATATTTTCATATAACACGTTCGCATTTGTTTGTCGTCGTCACTGCAAAACTTTATAGTAATTACAAAAATTATATTGTTTGCTTGCAAACAAATATGATGCGCAACAATAGAAAGCTATACATCTTTGATCAGCGTGAAAGTAACGTGTGAAAAATATACCCCGGTAGTATGATCTTTAATTAAATGAAAATGAACATAAGTTTTACCGTATCGTATTAGATGACAATTAAAGTAAACAACGATTATTTAGCAGTATAAGGGTTGGAATGGTTCTTTAAAATATCTTTATTCTTAAATTAGCATAATTAACAATAAGTACATCCTTACAAACACACATTACATACAATTAGCCGACAGCAATTTTATACAACTTGAAAACTCGCTAAACCGTTTATTAAAATACTGTTTGTCGTTATTACTTTAGACGAAACAGGTCACAATGAAGGATACATATCGTAGCAGGTAAGAGAAAATAGTCTGCGGTTTTTATTTCTGCGGTGCCGAAACTGACCGCAGAAAACGCAGAAATAAAGTCATCGCAGAAAAAACCACTTATACGGTATGTGCTGTTCGGTCGATCGCGGCGTGTAACAAACCTGTAGTTGTCAGGCAAAACTTCCCTTTCTGCGATGCTAGTGTTCAGCCAGGTCTCGCTGGCAAGGACAACATCTGGGTCTGCCTGCTCAAGTAGTGCCCAGAACGCTTCTCTCTTGGCACGCATGCTCTGAAAGTTGATGATCAGTGTACGCAATTTCTTCTTGGCAGTTGGCTGCTTGCGACGACTGGCAGTAGGCGATGACGCATACTGTGGGGAACCAAAGACTGAAGACTGGTTGGAAGAAAACGAGGTTGAAGAAGGTGTCGAGCAGGACGCTGATGCTTCAAAGTCCATATATAGACTGGAATTAAAGTTGGGGATCCCACATTGGCAAGCAATTCCATGTGATGTCAGTACCGTCTAACGCATCATAAATAAGGGTAGTCATTTGCAAGCAATGTTTATGAAACCATTTTTCACAGTTAGTGCACTGGATTGATCTGACAGTTCTGGACCAAACGCATGCTCTCCCACACTCCCCACAAGGAAACCTGACAGTTCTTGGACCTGGATTTGGGTGGCAGTCTGAGGCATTCAGAAGCAGCAAGGAGAACAGGTACAGAAAATGTCCGGACATACATTTCTTTGGGGCTGAAAACATTGCATGTTTGTTGAACGTAGAACAGCTGATGTTGAAAACACCTGGATAAAATACAATCTGTGTACATGTTATAGGCCGGGGTGGAGTGTAGGCACTATAGCAGTGGCTGATAGTTATCAGGGATACGATGAAATACGATGACAGCAAAACAAGGTTCATCTCTTGAACGCAATTCGGATGTGTACATAAATTTCGGATGTAAACAAATCCGACTTCCTGTTGTGACGTCACTTTACCGCTGCGAGAAAAAAAGTGGAAAACTTCGCTAAAATCGGGTGCAGGACAGTATTTGTAGGTTCATAAAGAGGGGAATACTACAATGGAATGATCAAACCAAGGAGAAGATCGTGGTGTTGTTTGTAACTCGTAAAACAATTTGTTTTCTCTCTGCGGAAACGGCGAGATGATGTTCCCTTCACGCATGCGCACTTATTTATGGTAGAAAGATCTGGTTTACATGTACACTAAACATGTTATGCTAAAATCATTATTCATAAGAGCTTTCCGCGCCATAGCAGGGTTTTACGGGACGCAGAATTCTGCGTCCCTATACGCATAAATTTTGACATGTACGCATATAAGTTATCCACTTGCGTCCAAGTGTACGCACAAAAATAATTCTAGACAATAGATATTATTGTTTCTGACCCGACATGATTTTATCTCTTTCTTCTCGAAGCTCATAAAATTCCATTTGAACCTAATGCTTGCATTGTTTATTCGGAAGTTAACATAATTGAAATCTACTGCGCATGCTATTTGCAAGTGCCCGCTGCAGAAAATGATGACGTTTATCGTGCAAGCTACAGTAACTGATGACGTTTACCGTAAAATCTATTTTTGGTAGCTGTTTTTGGTTTTTCTATTGCTATATTTAGACGGACTATTTATAACAAGCAATTACTATTGGTTAGCGTATCCAATGTCGATCTACCAGTTCGGCGATTGTATTTTGTACATGAACAGCGATAATAAAAAATGCAGTGCTTTTTGCAAAGTGTTATATGAAAAAGTGTTAGAAATTAAGTCACTGGGTATGTTATTATCGTTGGTGTTATAAATATAATGGTTTCGGCGAACTTAATTTATGACTGGGACATCAAGTATGTCCCAGCTTATGAGGAGGTGCAAAAGCGGTTTTGTCGGCCTTTTGTTTTATGATATTTTTAAAAACACAACATATTTAGCTGACTGGTCTGTAAAGACATCTATTGTGTGTTTACTTGTTCAGCTAAAATATTTACAAATAGATCAGTACAAATTTTCAGTCTGTTGGTGTAATCACCTTGTCAATAACAACATATGCTACTAAAACTTGACATTCCAGCCACTCAAAGACTTATAAGCCTTGGAAATAGCACATGATATTATTGTAAAGGGCTACTAAAATGCTATAAAAAACCTAGTGATAAAAGATATTGAAATAATATACTTCTTATGAAAACAGTACAATATACATGCATATTTCTTACAGGGTAAATAAACGATTTTAAGCAAAATAGAGTGGTCTTCATAGTCTTTTATAGTGAATATAATTTTGGACCCCTAAAATTCAGGCCTGGACCCCTACTTTTCTAGGCTGTGCATCCACTGGACCCCTAAAATTTCAAAGAGATGTAAAACCCTGCCATAGGTAGCACCTAATTTCATATTACAATAAAATGTTATCAAACTTAAACTCATTTCGCAGACTGCCGTTGTTTAAATATCTGTTTAAATGCTAGTCCTATAAATATGACGTCGCTTTGGGATATTTTTGCTTCTGGGCAAAGCAACGTCATATCGAAATTGCTCAAAAACCCATAGCATGTTCCGCCAGAAAATCGGGCGGAACGAAAAACAATGAAGACAGCGTGTATTTACATAATTTTTGACCTATTTATAAACAAAACTAAAAAATAAATACCTTTTGTCAAAATAATTAAACTGTCACATCCTAAAAATCATGATTAAATCCTCTCATGTATTTCAATTCCTTTTACAGCTGATAAACAAATGGCGGCCGTAAAGTGCGCGAAATCTGATTGGCTAATTCAAATGCAAGCGTTTAACTGAGTCAGAACAATATAACGGAATATTTTTTTAACGAAATAATTGCCCATGCACCGTCAGTGTGTTCGAATATATTTTTTCGTTCAAAAATTTGGAATCAATCTGTAAAGCACCTTGCTTAACCAGTATGGCTGATAGACAAAAATAGATTGATGTTTATATTTTATTTTAAATTGATAAGTACATCGTTTGAAAGTTTTTGTGTATGATTGAGCATGAAATTGAAAGAAAATATGATAAGCTTTTGAATAAAGCTTGAAAGGCAAGACAATAGACATTTTTGGAATTTTTTATGATGCTATTCGTTTTTGAGCAATAACTATTAGACGTCAGGCTTGACCGACAAAAACTATAACAAGCCTGTAACGTCTAATATATTGGACTATTTAAATGCCCACTCATCTGCTCATGTTAAAAATATTTGTCAGTTGCTAAGGGTAGAGCAAGGTGGAGTTAGAGTTTAACCTAAGGTGCCTGTACCTTATTAGGAACTTTACCAGAAACGTCCTAGCGAAAACATGTTTTCGCCAAAACTGGCCAGTTATTTTGATACCCCACCCACCAGTTTGTACACGTAAACCGGTGTCTAATTTTCTTTCAAGCACTGACGCAGTTTATTTAAAAAAATGTAAGTTGACAAGAAAATAATGTTTTCTTACACATGACATACTTTTCAACACCTTAAACTTACTGTTTCAGCACCACTGGGCTGTCCTTCTCCAGGTTGTGCTCCCAAATATTTACGGAAGTAGTCCATTTTGGAACTGTAACGCATGCGCAGCGACGTGGCAGTATGCCTTGTCGGTAAGCGCTTGCAATTATCATTAACGATCTACACGGACTTTAATTGAATTGTAATTTAAATCCGTGACGATCTATTAGACTTTTATCTGCATGCGCCTGTACAATTATCAAACCGCAAAATAAATCTTAAAGGCACTTCTCTGTTATTTTTAAATCGATTTTTATTTGTTTGGGTCGTCAGACCAAACAAATAATGGTAGCGAAATTTCAGAGTCTAATGTTCTTAATTGCAAATGCCGAAAGTAGTCCACTTTTTTGAAGCGGTTACTTCCCTTTTGTATGTACACTAAAGCCGAAAAATTCAGGGGAGATCACTGCGTAAAGATGGTCAAAGACAGGCGCATCAATTTTCAAGCAAAGTAATTCCCGAATGGTCGAAGATTTCTAATATTGTTTTCTGGTATTTTCTGATCGAAAATAACTAAATACAAAGCGGACATTCAATCTCTGACACAGAAGTTTATGACAAACCTAACAACAAGTAGTTCTCAAAACAGCTTAAAACTAGCGATTTAAAAGAAAGAAATATATTATTTTGTTACAAGTATCCAACAAATTACAACGCATTTAAAGTTAAACAATAGCGTTGGATTATAGAATTGTCAATAAATGCACAATCACAAATTACGCGGATGAATATGATTTTATCAATGAAAATACTATTTTTAGCCATGTAGATTACCGAATACTACACAAACCGAGTAGAAGAATATATAGATTCTACATGTCGGACTGTTTGGGCGAGAGGATTTTCGCTAAAATATTTACTTCAATTTTAAACAACAGGTTTACCCTGAACAAAATACCTCGAAATTAATAAGGATTACAAACCTGAATGCAATGGAAGTTCTAAATTTAGAATGACTCGATATTATTCAGACATTCTGTGTATAACTTCTCCGTGGTACAGTGGTAACGCGCTCGCTTAGTGAGTGAGAGGTCTCGAGTTCGAATCCCAGTCGAGGAAATTTTTTTTTTGTTAAATTCTTTTTTTAATTGTTTTTGTTAAGGAAGTAGCCATGATTTACAAGGATAAAGTGTGGCTGTCGTAAAAAAGTACATAAATGATTTTTTGATGCAACTCTAGTTATGCAGAATTCCGTATGTGCCTTACAAAATGAATTATAATACATAAAAATAAACTTATACAGGAAAATGCATACAGATATACAGTACGATTTAGATTGCAAAGATCAGAAAATACCAAAGAACTTGAAGCCCTTTGATTCTTTATAAATATACATGCTTATAGTAAGCTTCAGGATTATTTACATCTGTGTTAAACAACAGTTAAAAGTCGTTACAAGCCCTAATTTAGAATAATATGGTTTTCTTCAGGCCGTTCACATATAAATTTAACCGTGGCTGAAGGGTTTTCGGGCTCGCTTAGGAAGCGAGAGGTCTGGAGTTCAAATCCCAGTAAAGGTAACTCATTTTTTTAAATTGTTAAAGTCAAATAAACATTGGATTGAATATCAGTGTTGCAATTAGTCTTATAGCCAATTTACTACAATTAAAACGCTGGAAAGCATTGGTGGCACTAAACATATAATCTCACAACCTGCACCTTTCTTACATTCTGAGACCCAAACAAATTCAGCGCCTTCTGTGCTTTGATTTTAAAAGTTAATATGTTCCATTGTATGTTGGTCTATACCAATAACTCTTGTTCAAAATTTCAGATCATCTTAATTTAGTACGGATTAACATTGCAATATAATTATAATAATATTGTAATATAAATCCGTGGTCGAATGCAGCATTTATTGATGCTTTTTTCCCTTTTGAACCTAAGTGGAGACCCTTTAAACCAATGTCTGCTACATGTTTTTACTTTTTGTACAGAAACAGCATGGATCCACATATGCAGGCATTCCGCTCATTATTTTTCTAATAAGGGCCGGTAAAATCATCATAAAATAATCTCCCGTTGATTAATATCAAGAACAAAAAAAATTATATACATTATATCGATAATATATATAAGGTATATAAGCATATAGCTCGCCGCAAGAATTGTTTTAATTTAAAAAGACATATTTTCATCTCTTTATCTACTGCAAGCATAGCAAAAGAGATATATCTTGCAGAAGTCTTTAAAAATCTATCTTTATTTACGATAACTGAAATATCAAAATTGAACAATTTCCTCAAAATTGTTTTGGCATCCTAACAAATGATTGCAAACCTAACGAAATCACTTTTTCAGTACGTATTATTCGCTACAAATATATTTTTAATGTATACATATGTTTTTTATGTCTTTTTTTGGTAGATCTAATAGTTCCTTCTACTTACGAACACGGTAGCATTTATTGCATGCTGACACAGTTCTAATGTATCATCTTTTTACAATCACAGAAAGTGGGTAAGAAAGCCTTTCAAAAAGATGGGTTTTTTTTAGAGTTGTTTTCAAAATAATAATGATAATAATAATTGTTTTAAAGTCATACATCCAATCCATGTAAGACCTGGCAGCCTAATTAATAGACCTGTATAATCATGAAGCCCATTGATATTAATATTGAATGTTTTGAGAGTTCAGAAATATGCTGCAAGTTTAGTTGCTGAGCTATCAAAGTTGGATTATAAAGAGTGTCCGAAACATGTATAATTTGAAATAAAGACGCTTAAAAAGGTGATTTCAATAGATATAAAACAAGAGGGCCATGATGGCCCTGGGGTCGCTCACCTGAACATAGGCCCCCAGGGCCGGGCCAGTTTAAACCAAAGGGCTTTTATTTGAACAAACTAGGAAGACACCCATTAAAAGATATTTCATGATGTTAAGTTTTTACTATACACAAATAATGAATAACAATGACTTTTGCCCCCTCCCCCCTCTCCCTGGCAGGGCCAATTTTGACCCAAGGGCTTTTATTTGAACAAACTTGGTAAACATCCATTAGAACATGTTTCATGCTAAATATCTTAGCTCTAGCTCTTTTGGTTCTTTAATAGAAGATTTTTAACTTTTTACTCTATGTATATAGGGAAAATCAATAACCCCAGGGACAGGGCCAATTTTGACCCCAGGGCTTTTATTTGAACAAATTTGGTAGACACCCATTAGAATATGTTTCATGCTAAATATCTTAGCTCTAGCTCTTTAAAAGAATTTTTTTTAAGTTTTTACTATATGCATATAGGGAAAATCAATGACCCCCTGGGGCGGGGCCAATTTTGACCCCAGGCCTTTTATTTGAACAAACTTGGTAGACACTGATAAGAAGATGTTTCATGCTTAATATCTTAGCTCTAGCTCTTTGGGTTCTTTAAGAGAAGATTTTTTTGAGTTTTTACTATATGCACATAGGGAAAATCAATGACCCCCTGGGGCTGGGCCAATTTTGACCCCAGGGCTTTTATTTGAACAATCTTGGTAGACATCCATTAGAACATGTTTTATGCCAAATATCTAAGCTCTAGTTCTTTGGGTTTTTTAGAAGAAGACTTTTTAAAGTTTTTACTATATGCATATAGGGAAAATCAATGACCCCCTGGGGCGGGGCCAATTTTGACCCCAGGGCTTTTATTTGAACAATCTTGGTAGACACTTATTAGAAGATGTTTCATGCTTAATATCTTAGGTCTAGCTCTTTGGGTTCTTTAAAAGAAGATTTTTTAAAGTTTTTACTATATGCATATAGGGAAAATCAATGACCCCCTGGGGCGGGGCCAATTTTGACCCCAGGGATTTTATTTGAACAATCTTGGTAGACACTCACTAGAAGATGTTTCATGCCAAATATCTAAGCTCTAGCTCTTTGGGTTTTCTAGAAGAAGATGTTTAAAGTTTTTTCTTTTGGTTGCCATGGCAACCAGAGTTCTGCATGGAATGGAATTCTTTGAACAACTTTGTTAAGGCTTCACACAAGGAACATCCCTGTGAAGTTTCATTATGATCTGCCTTATGGTTTCAGAGGAGATGTCGTTTGAAAAGTGTGAACGGACAACGTACGACGGACGACGGACGACGGACGACGTACGACGGACGACGGACGAAGAGTGATCCTAATAGCTCACCCTGAGCATAAGCTCAGGTGAGCTAATAAAAATGGAAAATGAAGAGAAAAATTACCTAAACTTAATGCATGTACTTCTTTTAAGATGTGAATATATTTGTTATGTCCAGGTCAAACTGTATTCAATTGTCAAGCTTTACTAAACATTTACTTTCTTGTTGCTCTGCAAAACTGTGTCTTAGATCCACTTTGCTTTCTTTTTATTAAGGCGTTAGACTTATAGATTTATTTCATTTTTGCGTAACATGCATATAAAATGTCATACACAAGGCGTTAATGGACATTGGCACGAAAACAACCGGTTTTGTTGTGGGGCTGACAATTGTTTGCTAGCCCATAGCTCGACTTTTTTGAAGAAAAAAAATCGAGCTATTGTTCCAGTCATTGACCCTTAAAAGTAATTCTTTATTTACGATAACTGAAATATCAAAATTGAAAAATTTCCTCAAAATTGCTTTGACATCATAACAAATGATTGCTAACCTAACGAAATCACTGTACGTATTATTCGCTACAAATGGCATTGGCCGTCAAGATCAAATGTGAAATTTAAATTATATTTCTACTTTACTAGAATATTCTACCTCAAATCTGTTAAGAAATAAGAAAAAGTCGAGCGTGATCCCCGCATGGCGATGGCTCTTGTTTCGGCCGGGATCTTAGAGTCTACTTTTTGGTTAACAAGGCAACCTGCCGGAAACCTAAGATTATTCATGTCAGCATACGCATTTGCAAAGAGTTTCAAAATGCCTACTTTTATTAAACTACAACACACCAACTCTCCACTGATCAGGCGAAGTACTAGTTGCTGCGGAGAGTTAGCTACCTTACCAAGAATTAAGCTGTACATTGAATAAGTAATGAGTGACAGTATTTGTCAGACTTTTCTCCACATCAGTTGTATTAAATTGATAATGTGTTGTCGTCACTCTTCTTTATTTGAAATAAATGAACAAATGATGATCATGATCGGTCATTTTAATGATCGAATTTATGCTAAGTTCCCAAAATTTTCCCCAAATTCCTTTTAATAGAACAGAAAAAACTGTCTATGATTATCAGACTGATAAAAGACAAGACAAGATAAGTAACGTATTTATGTTACTTAATATGCAGAAGTATATGTAATAGACAGCCAGCATATCTATAGTATACTTTGTATGGTGGACACAGCGTCGTTGCCAATATGACTCCACTGATGGTTTTTTTAAATGACCAGACTTTAAATAATTTCCCGAGATTAATGTTTTATTTGATTATTTGATGTAGGTAAAACCCAATGACTTATTTGCAAAATTTCAGATGATTCATTCACTCCGTTTTCCAGTAGTGAAAAAGACCCAAAATTGAAAAGCATTGCAACGCTTTTCACTCAAATCGGGCTTAGAATAGTGCAAACATACATTTTAGTACACTTTTTAATTACAAATCAACTCAAACTCAACTCTATTTTATTAATGTCTCATCTTTGTGCTTCTTTACATATATATGTATACATACATTAAAAAAATCTTTTAATTTTTTCACAACACAAAGCCTCTCCCACATAAGGAGTTTTAAGAGACTGTAATTCTATTAAAAATAATGACTATAGTATCTACATTTTAATAACAATTAAATCAATTTTAGACACAATCTAACATGAATTATATAACCAAAGAGTCAAATTTGTGCATAACCGTCTATTAATTATAATACTATGACAAATGTACCATAATTGTCTGAGCTAACAAAGATACAATACAAAAATCCGACATCTTATGTAAAAAAAAAAGTACTAGAGCTAGACCAAATATGTTTGATTGCAAAAAGATGAATGTACATTGGGATTGGTTGAGTATGTGATTGTACATTGTGATTGGTCCTGTGTGTACCTAATTTTACAATGACTGGTCGTGTATGTACATGATTGTACCATGTGACTGATTGTATGTGTTCATGATTGTTCACTGTGACTGGTCGTATGTGCACATGATTGTACAGTGCGACTGGTCGAATGTGTACATGATTGTACAGTGTGACTTGGCGTGTGTGTACATGATTGTACAGTGTGACTGGTCGCGTGTGTACATGATTGTACAGAGTGACTTGGCGTGTGTGTACATGATTGTACAGTGTGACTGGTCGCGTATGTACATGATTGTACAGTGTGATTGGTAGAGTGTGTATATGATTGTACAGTGTGACTGGTTGATTGTGTACCTAATTGTACAATGACTGGTCGTGTATGTACATGATTGTTCCATGTGACTGATTGTATGTGTTCATGATTGTTCATTGTGACTGATCGTATGTGTACATGATTGTACAGTGCGACTGGTCGCGTATGTACATGATTGTACAGTGTGATCGGTCGAGTGTGTACATGATTGTACAGTGTGATTGGTAGAGTGTGTATATGATTGTACAGTGTGACTGGTTGATTGTGTACATGATTGTACAATGTGATTGGTCGAGTGTGTACATGATTGTACAGTGTGATTGGTCGAGTGTGTACATGATTGTTAACCAATTGTGTATCAATTTTTTTATAATGATTGACCAAATGTGTACATATAATTGTACAAAGTAGGAGTCTAAGTATAGATTGGTTGTCTGTTTATAAACAATGTTGTATATAGTGATTACTCTGGACTGTAAGTGTCTGTACCAAATGTGTGTGCATGATAATCATCAGATTCTGTGTATGGTTATCCCAAGTGAGTGATCAGGTAATTTGGGGAGGGGCGGCAAAATAGGAGTATCGAAGCATTGCACTAGACCCAGTCAGCAGAATATCACATGTAATATAATTATCATAGAGGACACATAAAAGTGTCCATTTAGTAAGGATATAGGGTGATCACTTTCTCCCATAACACCCATGTGTATTAATACTTTATAATCCCTAAAATCATTCCGCTAGTACCCTTAAAAGTTAGATATAAAATTCTTGATAATAAAATTCCTTTGTTACAATACATTGTAGGAGTCTGCACACCTGAGAATTTCAGCCTACTTACATTTAACATACATTTATACTAGAGGACAACAATCAATTGAGTTAAATGTAATTATCTCTCTGTTTTAAGTGCCGTAGTTGACCTTTGTTAAATTCAAATTTTATGGGTTTTTTAGGCCTTTGGACCTCAATGGAGTTCCTTTTCATAACTATATAATTATAATTAAAAAATCTTAATAGGAAGCAAATATGTTTCAATGTACATGTATATGTATTTTATTTAAAACATAAACTATACATAAAGACATTTTAGATGAAATACCTGGTTCCCCGTCATGCAATAACTTTTCATCTAAATTTTGTAACAAATACGTTTAATATTACAGCTATTACGAATGGCAAAATATGAAAGGTTTGTCGTACGAATACAATTCCTTTTCCGTTAATATGTTAATATGGGCACCTGTATCTATTATTACCATGGTAATTTGCGAATTTCTGGCTTGTTTTTTATAGTGGAGGACAAAAATCAATTGAGTTGCTAAGGAGATAGAAAAGGTAGTCATATTTACTGTTTCTGATAGTATAATTAAAATACCTGTAACTAAATAAGTACATATGCATGTGTATAAACATGTAGAACAAAATAATTGTCATTTCAGTATAAAATAATATATATAATCCTTATTGACAGAATTGTCAAAGCCTTTGTCTTTATTAAGTAACCTTTCTGTCTGCTTACAAAAGGTTGACTTTAGTTTTATATTAACCATGCTTTTATAAACATTAAGATTTATTTAAACGCGGTGATGAAGGGTTCTGCCTTTCTACACAGTCAGTCCAGCCATTACGGTATAGAGTTCTACCATTTGTTAGGATACGTTACATGCTCTTTAAATTTGTCTGCAATAGGCAGACTTCATAACATCTGGTCCCTTTCTATCTTTATAAGTCCGTTTGAAAAAGGGTCGTATTATAGTTTCCCCCCTGGCGGCCGGGTGGACGTGCGGTCGGCGTCCAATATTTTGTCCGGAGCATATCTCCTATATGCATAAAGGAATTTTAATGAAACTTCATAGAAATGTTCACCACTATAAGAAGCTGTGTTGCGCACATGAACCAGGTCTTTAGGTCAAAAGTCAAGGTCACACTTACAGGTCATTGAAAAACGCTTGTCCGGAGCAAAACTTCTACATGCATAGAGGGATTTAAATATGACTTGTCACAAAAGTTTACCATTGTGAGGCGGAGTGTCGCTTGCAAAATTTAGGTCCCTGTGGTCAAGGTCACACAAAGGGATCAAAGTTCAGATAAAAATATGAAAATCTGTATTCAGGACCATTTAGTCATCATTTATTAAGGGATTTAAACACAAATTGTCATTATCATAACTACTGGTGTGAAACTTGTGATTTAGGTTAAAGTGACATTATGCTCATATTTTCATCGTCAAGTTGAACTAAATTGACAACATATTTCGAAAGATTTACTGTTATTATGGTGATTGACCAACACTCGATATTGGAAAACGTTTTGGATAGAATATATATCCTGCCTTAAATATAAAAAGACTGCCCCACTCTTTTTATAAATTGACTGTTTCAGGTAAATTTGGGTAGATATTCAGATATTTTTAGGGGGCAACGTGTGTAATTTATCGTTCATGCGAAGTATATTATAAAATTGAAAGGAATTCAAAAAAAATGTAAACTTGTTCTGACTTTTACCTGTTTACTCACTATATACCCTTATATGGGCATAATACAAGGTCAAGGTCTCAAATTATTTGAGTCAAGGTCACTAAACATGAAAAATTATAGATATTTTTTAAGAGCATATCACCTACACGCATGGACGAATTTTAAGGAAACTTCATAGAAATGTTCATTATCATGACTACTGGTTTTTGAAACATGTGATTAAAGTTAATATATGCAAGGTCACTATTTAAAGCTGATAAAATATAAAGATTTTGTCCAGAGCAGATCTCCTACACATAGGGAGGGATTCAAATGAAACTTCATACAAATGTTCACCACTATGAGAAGCAGTGTTAAGCGCATGAATCAGGTCTCTAGGTCAAAGGTCAAGGTCACACTTAGAGGTAATTGAAAAACACTTGTCCGGAACAAAAGTTCTACATGCACAGAGGGATTTCAATATAACTTGGCACACAAAAAACACCATTGCGAGGCGGAGTGATGCGTGCAAAATTTAGGTCCCTGCGGCCAAGGTCAAGATCACACATAGGGGTCAAAGTTCAGATAAAAAATGTATATTCGGACCATTTATTCATCATTAATTGAGGGATTGTTACACAAATGGTCATTATCATGGTGTGAAACATGTAATTTAGGTTAGGATATGCAAGGTCAATGTCACTTAAAGAAGATCGTCAATGTTACTAAAGATATATAGAGTTTGTCCAGAGCATATCTCCTACACATATGGGGGATTCTAATGAAACTTCATACAAATGTTTAACCACCATAAGAAGCAGTGTATCTGCTATTTATCTACTTGTAGAAATAGGATATTTATATATCGCATACATCATCGTGGTTTTAAAGATTCCTCTCTCATTGAAAATCAAATCTTTTACCATGTGAAATTTGATACATGTATTGATTATTCAAAATTATTGACATCAGAATAATAAAAAAAAACAACATTATAATTACATTCATGTTGTAACAGGTGTGTTGTTTAATTTAGTAGTAAATTGCTTATGCTAATTTCGTCGTACATCTCACAAAGCTTTAATGAATTAAAACTGAGATTTTTTTGCGGCCATTTAGTGATGGTTGTATAAGATTATTATTTCAATAGACATAGGGGCCCGAACTTATTTTGGAAATTGCTGTATCTTTACAAGTATTTATAACTCGTGGTGTCAGAACCAGCAAAACTAAAATCAGTGTTACTAACTCATTTTCTAAGAAAGTGCCAAAAATAAAGAAGTACGAGTCATGAATAGTCTACAATTATTTTTTTTTTAAAAGTACAAATACAAAACTTTATCAAATAAAACAAAATTTATAAATATCGGTATAAAAGATGCAAGAGATTCCTGATGTGTTCCTAGTCTCCCCTTAATATATCACCATTGGTAACACCATTTGCCTCGGTGGTTCCATTTGTTTCCGGTTTGGCCGTTGGTACCCGTTTCTTAACATATGCCGTATAATAGAAATTCGAGAATAATGAAACCATTGTTAATCCGTAAAGGATTCCATAAATACAATAGTTGTAATACATATAACCTATACCTGCATGAAACAAGTCTAAAATAAACTGAATAATTTGAAACTGAGTCAAAAATTTCTTCCATCTAGGTGGATTATCGGGATACATTGCGCTTAACCCGTAATAAAAGTACAACAGCACGTGCACCGCGGAATTTAGCGCCAAATAAGGCGCGAAAGCTGGATATGGGTAAAAGTTGTAGGCAATGTCACTGAGAATTAACATACTTCCATGATGATATATATGTAAAAAAGAAATCTGGCGCTGTTTATGTCGTAAAACCATGAATACTGTGTCCAGGAGTTCGAATATTTTCATGAACCAATATATTTTAAATACAGGCACTAGCGGCTCGAACGAACGTGCTTCAAACGATGATTGCGCATGGTACAGTCCGTGACAAAATCCGTATATTGTGTAGAAGCTGATAGCACTAGCTGTGAAGTTGTACACCACTAAAATCTAAAAGGAAGAAGTAAATATAAGAGTTGGACATGATACTACATGTATTTTTTTAAATTTACGTAGGATTTCCGAGTATAAAATTACACAGAGGTATAATCGGCCAGTAACAAGCGTATAAATCTGCTCTGTCATAAAACTTCCTTGTTTGAGGATCTGACAAAAGTATAACACTGTGGTTGAAAAGTCGGTTTTAACTGATTGTTGATATGTAAATTATTTGTAATAGTTAATATTTGTGTGACAGTAATTAGAATGTACATAGATGAATGCACGTGTATTATTCAATTTAGAATACATTGTCAAAATAAATGTTTAATTAAACAAAATGTTTTATAATGAATGTTATCAATACATTTGTAATGTTAAAATTGTACTGAAATATGATACTAGTATCTGACTTTAAATATTTAAAATCATTCGATCATGAAATCAATGATTGAATACAAATAGAATATAAACATTTTAAGCTCGTTGCTTCCTTTACAAATGAACTAAAAAAATCTGTATAAACTAAATACAATGTTTACGAAATTAATAAAGCTTACAGGTCTAAGTCCAAGCGGTTTGGTAAATTTCTTCCATTGCCCAGCCAGAAAAATCATCAACATATACCCACAGAAAACCGGGAATGAATCCAACCGACACACCAGTAGTACTCCAGCAGCGATTTTCTCGGGAGTCAAACCCATACTTACAGTACCTATAGGTGAGAGAATTAGATCCGAGGTAAAATAAAATATATCAAAAGTAATAAAGAGTCACCAGTTTAGAATTAAAAACTATACATTCCTTCAATACACACGCTGTATCCTTTGACAATGTTACGTTGGGATTGGTCGAGTTCTGCAGGTACGCTTATTTCCTCATACAGATTTTAATTCGTATGTTCATGTAAACAGATCTTATGCTACTTAAAAACGTCTTATTGCTACTTTTGTTAATATTCCTGCTCTTTCACTTCCTGAATTCGTAACGATCCTCTTAACAATAACGCTTTTATGGACAATTACAGTACATGTACATGAAATTGTATACACTAGCTATAATTGAAAAATGTGTGCATGTGATATGCTTTACGACGGCTTTAATCGCCTTTTTTCACTTTTAACTTTTTGTAATACTTTAAGACTTGGTATTTTGTGATAGTGACAACATTTTAGCAATAGTGGCATTTTCAAAATTACAGTTTCATCATTTTAGCAATAGTGCCATTTTCAAAATTACAGACAGCTCAGCAATAGTGTCATTTCAAAATTACAGTGACAATATTTAAGCAATAGTGAAATTCCAAAATTACACTGACAGCTTTTTAGCAATAGTGACATTTTCAAAATTACAGTGACAACATTTAAGCAATAGTGGCATTTTCAAAATTACAGTGACAACATTTTAGCAAAAGTGACATTTTAAAAATTACAGGGACAGCATTTTAGCAAAAGTGACATTTTCAAAATTACAGTGACAGCTTTTTAGCAATAGTGGCATTTTCAAAATAACATTAACAGCTTTTTAGCAATAGTGACATTTCAAAATTACAGTGACAATATATAAGCAATAGTGACATTTTCAAAATTACAGTGACAGCTTTTTAGCAATAGTAACATTTCAAAATTACAGTGACAACATTTTAGCAATAGTGACATTTCAAAATTACAGTGACAGTTTTTTAGCAATAGTGACATTTCAAAATTACAGTGACAACATTTTAAAAATAATGACATTTCAAAATTACAGTGACAGCTTTTTAGCAATAGTGACATTTTCAAAATTACAGTGACAACATTTTAGCAATAGTGACATTTTCAAAATTACAGTGACAACATTTTAGCAATAGTGACATTTTCAAAATTACAGTGACAGCTTTTTAGCAATAGTAACATTTCAAAATTACAGTGACAACATTTTAGCAATAGTGACATTTCAAAATTACAGTGACAGCTTTTATAGTGACATTTCAAAATTACAGTGACAGCTTTTTAGCAATAGTGACATTTCAAAATTACAGTGACAACATTTAAGCAATAGTGACATTTCAAAATTACAGTGACAGCTTTTTAGCAATAGTGACATTTTCAAAATTACAGTGACCACATTTTAGCAATAGTGACATTTTCAAAATTACAGTGACAACATTTTAGCAATAATGACATTTTCAAAATAACAGTGACAACATTTTAGCAAAAGTGATGTTTTTTTTTTGTAATTACACTGACAACATTTTACAAATAACTGTTAGATATGTTTTTTAGCATAGCATTACCGATAGCATTTGTTTCCCAACGGATGTGAAATAAACACATGCATGTATAACGCATTACATCCTATGCCTGTGCTAACATCAGAAGTCACCTGATAGAGAACCACTTTTTGAATTAATGGCGAGGGGATGCAAACAACCGTGATATTTTGATTATTTTCTCAATAACACCGGTCAACACCATGGTAACAATAGTGATATTTTCACAACATTAGCACGGGCAACATTCTAATAATAATGGCATTTTCACAATATTAGCACAGGCAATATTATAAAAATTATGGCATTTTCACAACACAAAATTTAGTTTAGAACAATAATAATATAAAACAATTACATTGAAGCGATACAGGATATAGACTACCATGCAAATACATCACTCCAAATTAATATCTGTTCCAAAACCGAATACATGTAGTAGTAGTAAGTAGTCCTGTACATTGTCTTCTGCAAAAATACCTTTAACGCATAAGTTAGGATTATGTACGCTGTGTACTTATTTAAAATAGTTACAGCGGAGTTAAGTCGGATTGAGGAGATCAATAAAGAAATTTCAAAGATGACTTTAATTTTCATTGTACAGTGGTCACAGTTTCACGATCTACACTATGGGAAATTTTCTTTGAAGACCATTCAGCCATTTGACTATTGATTTATATTATCGAAAATGTGACACTGTTTTATTTATAAACTTTGCATACCTATGAAGGCCTAAGGCTGTAATATTCAAATCGATTGAATAATGAACAACATCAATACATATTTATGATATTATTTTGTCATATTGTTAGAGTATACTCGTACATTGTTGCTTGAAATAGAAAACCATTTTCACTTAAGATAACTTTTCAAAGTGTCAGGTAACTTCTCAAGCGAAAACACCGGATTTATATAGAGATAAAATAACTTTGACTTATATGTATATGATACATTGCTTGGTGTCAAGTTATATGGGTCTGGTGGGATGCATTTTGTGCGTACAAATAAATAGGCCAATTTTCCTGTAAAACTAGTAGACCTACAGAAGGCGCTGTATTATCTTCATTTGTTAAACTGCATGGTTCATTTTAACAAAAGAGATTTGGATCATGATTTTCAATTAGAAGAATCAATTAAAAATGCTCGTGTAGCAAAATGTATTTAGAGAAGCAAACATATAAAAGAAATCCTTAAATACCTGAAATAATGAACTCCAAATCCGTTCTAATCACTTTATATAATACTTTTAAGAGAATGTTATATTTATCACCAGTTTATTGGCCCTCATGCGGTTATTGAATGAACTGTAAATAATGTATTAACATCATTTATGGATCCACGTGTATTTATGAAAAATTCACAACTTCATGTATCGGAAAACTTGTCGGCTTGTAACAAAACTGCTGTACATGTATTCATTGAGCTATTATTAAACGAAATATGAACAGGAGTTTTATAATCACTGCATGTACGTATGTTAATTACCATGTTTGGTTAATCTAGCCGAGAGAGTGAGGCATTTACATGCACGACGGTATAGGATACATTCGGTTTTGTCAATAAATACCGGATACTGTTTACGATTTCTTACATTTACACAGTATTGTGTAAATTCAAATAGTACTGAAATTTGACCTGCTATACAGAAGCTGACACACTAATTAATAATTCAATCAATTCGCTACATGTAAACTTCAATATAACGATAAGTTTGTTATTTCTAAAATGCATACAAACGATGATGTTATAAACCAAAATGACCACAACAAAAAATTTACCTGGCTTAAACTCCACATAAATTTTGTGTGTTTCAACTGTGAATACTAGTATAGTGTATACATGTTATTTTTAAGCATGGTCACGTCTGACCTGTCACCACAAATATGCTCGATGTTAGTGTGTTTAACTATAAAATTGTTTAATTCTTTCGGTTGAAACTATAATAAGTCCGATGAAATCGTTCCATTTTCAATTATTTAATTAAAATGATTCAATTCATTTAATTAACACTATTTTGCATTTAAAGCTATCCCGTTCATTCAATTTTTCATACTCGCACTTACATCATGTCGTGCGCACGAGATATTTAAGTGGCGCGCACGAGATACTCAATAGTGCGCACAGCATAATTAAGTGGTGTACACGAGATATCATGTCACTAAGTCGTGCGTACGAGTTACTTAGTATATGGTGCGAACGAGATGAGTAAGTTGTGCGCACTACATTTTAACCAATCAGATTACACTATATGTATGAATTTTCAATGACAAATGTCATTTGACCTTATGACCTAAAAGTCAGTAGTAGTGAGCAATATTCCTACCAAGTAACATAAACAATGACTTATTTATTCTCAAGTTATTGATTCGACAAGGATTTTACATTATGACATTGTGTCTCTGTGGCCTTGACCTTTGACCTAATGACATCGAAATCAATAGGTTTTTCTAATGGCCACAGAGGGACAAAGGGCAATTTCCCTATCAAGTAACAAACGCATGGCATATTCTTTCTCAAGTTATTGTTTGGACAATGATTTTACATTAAGCGTCATTGTGAACCTGATTTTTTATCCAATGACCTCAAAATCTAAAGATGGCATGTACTGATCAGGTGCAATGTCCGTTCTAGGTAATATAAACCATGGCTTACTCCTTTTCAAGTTAGAAGTGTCATGGTTACCATGACCTTAAGACCTCAAACATCAATTGAGGTTATCTACTGGCAATGGGCAATGTCCCTACCAAATAAAGTAAACCATGCAGTGCTTATTCCTTCTCACGTTATCGTATGGACAATGTTAACAGGCCCTTAGTACGTACGTACTGATCAATCCTATCAAAGGATGGTCACCACTTTCAAGTGGAAAGGGGGGGGGGGGGGCATAAAAGGGCCATGACTAAGTCAAAAATACTGATTTATGGGCCTTGGATAGTGACCTCCTAATATGATCCTAAAGACATGTATCATGTATTCAACTGAATACTTTCAGTAGTTTCTAAGATTCATGTTGCATGTACTTAAAACATTAACCAGGCATTTTCTAAGTAAAAAATTCATATATATAGTGTACTCTGATTGGCTAATTATCTTGTGCGCACGACTTCATTATCTTGTTTGCACCACATCTCGTGCGCACGACTTAGTAACTCGTGCGCACGACTTAATAACTCATGCGCACGACATAGTATCATTTCTGTAAAGATCGGATGAAATTGCACGAGCAGTTCATGAGGAATTGTACGGACACATTTTGTGACGGAGAAGTGATCCCTACATGTCGCCTAATCACCGAGTAATCACCGATACATAGATCAATTCTAATTATCAGATTAGTGGATAAAATAAGAATTTCACCACAACATATTTGTTAGTCAATGTTTGTGGTTAAAGCCATTGTTATTCAAGTGAAAGGTCAGAGTTCACGTTTTTTTTTCAGCCAATCGCTGACCATGTTACAACACAATAATCTGACCTTAAATGATCAAACGTTGTTACGGTTCACAGTACAAAACGACATCCACTGGTGAATATATATGTAAATATGTAGTAGGCTATCTGTATATAGATACCATACGTGTTGCAATAGTTTGAAGGTAAAATTTATTTGTATATTAATGTACTTAAGTTTAAACTCTAGTTATAACCATACAAATTAAAAATGACACCACCTGCTTTCAATTTACCGGGTCACTTAATGGTACAAAAACAGGCTGTTAAATTGCTTTACGAACAGTTGTATTTTCTTTAGGCTCCGAAGTTTGACGGAAAAGATCGAAAAGTTTCTAATCTTATACACAACTAAGGTTTAAATACACACTGTAAAATATTGATGCATGCATACCTGTAGATAAATTGTACACAAATTTACAGTCTTGATATATTTAATTAAATAAATACATGTAGATGTATATGTACGCTTAATATCGAAAAAAATATCATGTGTTTCGTATATTTGTTTTTACTAAATACTTTTTGCAATCATATTATTTGAACTTACTTGACAGTAGTATATGAAATTACGTAGTAATTGTAGCTGCTTGACTTTATTTTTCATACAGAAAACATGACAAGTCCGACGACTGAATATATACTTAATGTGGCCAGATATGTGTCCCGGCTTGACTCGTTCCCTATATTCTGTGGGTATGTGCTGATGGTACTGCTGGCTGGACAATGGAAGAAATTTTTCAAACCTCTAAACCTCAGGCCTGTTAGTTTTATTGACTTTTTTATTTTCTTAAAAAAAGAGAGTATGTTTGTATATGCCATTTATTTACAACAGGACATAATGGTCGGCCTGGTCGCGGTTTATAAAACAGTATTATGATAGAACTTTAGGTTCGATAACAAGCTCAAATAAGTAAACATGAATTTATTAATATACAATACAATTTAAACATAGTTGAGTAACCAAAGTTCATGTTTTACGGAAAGACATTGTCTATACGCGTACTATATCATTATGGTGAATAAGACTGAGATACTAGTATTCCAAAGTGACTTTATTTTCTAAGCAAATTTAATCCGATTGCCTGCATAATGGTAATTTGCTCCTTTAAGAGATGGTCGTTTTTCTTTTGTTTATTTTAAAAGTCTAGTATTTCTGATTTTCAGGTTTTAGTGATCTACAACCTAACTGCAAGTGCTATCAGCTTTTATACGCTGTATGGGAGTGCGGTAGCCTTGATCAACTCAGAATCAACTTTCAGCCGGCAGACATCAGAACAACTTCAGTTTACCTACAAAGTTTACTGGTTTGCTAAAACATTAGAACTGCTCGATACTGTTTTTATGGTGTTACGTCATAAACAACGTCAGATTTCTTTCCTGCACGTGTATCACCACAGTAGTATGCTCCTACTTAGCGATATGACCTACCATTCTTATCCATACGTTGCAATTAGTTTATATTTAGGACTAAATTCCGCAGTGCACGTGCTACTATACTTGTATTACGGGTTGAGTGCACTACATCCGGAAAATCCTCCGCAGTGGAAAGAATTCCTAACTCAGTTTCAAATAACTCAGTTTGTCATTGATCTTGTACATGCAACAATAGGTTACATGTTTTATAATTACTGTATTTATGGAGTGTTTTATTGTATTGCAATGATAATACTGTTTTCAAATTTTTATATAAAAGCGTACTCCAAACAAAGTAGTCCATCAAATAAAAGAAAGGGCATTTAGCATAAACTTTAAATGATTGTTACATTTTTAAGTTTTGAAATAGTTGATGTATATTTCTTTAGGTTATACCAACGTTTTTGTCTTAAACATTTAGTCACAAATTTGCCAAAATCTAGACAAGCCAATGAGAATGCTTGCTAAATCAACGAGATTTACTGGGAGTGTTCTTCAACTTCACTTGCTTTCCCATATGTGTATTAGAAGTTTGTTTAGCTAGCTAACTGTCGGTTGCATTTACACATTTGTTATAATAAAAGTAACAATATGTATGATACATATTAAAATATTGTGTCTCTAATTGGCTACTTTCCAAAGCAACAACAAATACAACTTTTTAATAAAATTTTTATAAAATGTTTGATTGTTCTAGTATATTTCAAGTTTAAGATCTTTTCTGACAAATATCCATACAGTAGAACATTTTGCTTTAAATTACCAATAAAATGTCAATGGCCAACTAGAACCTTCACTGTCTTGGTTCAAATACCCTTTTAGCGGGTTTAATGAAGTTATATCTTGATACATTAAATTGACTTAAAGTTACGCTATCTACATTAACAAGTATGAAACATTTCAAGAGCAGTAACTCTAAAACAATTTAAGAGTTATGATTCCAGGTCATTGTATATCCCCTAAATGAGATCTATCCATTTAAGGAGTGTCAAGCTAGTATTAATACCTTTTTAGTCATGCTCCTGACCAAAGTAAGTATAAAATATTACAAAGAGCTAACATCTATGGAATTTCAACAACTGTTGAATTATAATCCGGAAAACAAAAGTTGAAGGTCAGGTGGATAACAATACAGACAAACTGATTTCTGTATACTCTGTTACAAAATTATTGTGGGATGGGCAGGGGTATATGAAACTAGAGCTGTTAGTAGGAAAGCTGGCTTGACTATTCTCCGTGCTTGATAATGTAGAAATAAACAAAGGGGACTGAGTTTTGGATACTGACCAAAGAATTTTTTAACTTCACTAAAGGCCATACATTGTATTTCATTCAAAATCCATGTCAGAATTATAATTCTTTAAACATAATTCCAAAAACATGAATCAAGTTTCAAGTGAACCCAACAGTAATTTAAAGATTAATGTACCAAGAATTTCATAACTTCACAAAGGGCCAATAAAAATTTATATGGAGTTATTGGCCTTGAATAGTAACCTTCAAGACATGTATTCAATATCAAGAGAATGCATACAGTAGAAAATTTTGTATTGATGTTGCATACAAAACATTTAAACAAAAGATTTTTTTTAAAGTTCATAAAATGCCACAATTCAGTTATTGACCTTGGAAAGTTGGAAGACATTTTAAACTGCAATAAACACGCTCTGCTCTGTTACTTAAACCCGGAAATATCTCATAAAGGGTCATTTGGTTTAAACATATTCATTTAATCTTGATTGCGAAACAAGCTTTTGAAACTTATATTATTCACTTTCGAGTCAGCTTCCTGGAACCAACCAGTACTGGCGTCAAATGAAGAAACATGATCATTACTTGATTTGGACTCGAACCCATGCCTTTTAGAAATGCATACCAATTTTTATATTAAACAAGAATTCAAACTTTGAAGTGAATACCTTTGATAGTCTTGAGAAATGCACTTTAATGTACATTAAACAAATCAAGACATAAAAGGGGGATTACTTTTCAAAATGAATTTGAGGATAAGCTGCCCTTTTAAAGCGGTTCTATTTTTATGGTGAACATGTATACTAAATACTTGAATTGTTTCACAAAAAAGTACCTAAACAAAAAGGTAAACCAGGGGAAAAAATCTATGTTAAAAATGGGGCATAATTACTGATTTCTTGATCTTGGACTGAACTTCAGAATAAGTTATCAACAAAGTGGATACAGCACAAGCAAAATTTATCTAACATTTATCATATTTATTTTGCAAATGTTGAATTTAACCAGTATCTAAAATATTGTATTGCACTACTGAACACAGTTTTATTTTTTATTTAACAAACTATTACAAAAGGAGAGGGTCTTTTTAGCTCTAAATTGCTCACCTGGGTCCCATTGCTTAAGTTTGATTATACCAGCCAAATGAGCTTATGTCAAGTTATTCTAAAATCCATCATTAAATGCCAGAATTGTTTTAAAAGAAACAAAAATCAGTGCAGTTTTATGAAAGATTCATACCATGATTATGGATGTACAAGTGTGACCTTGACCTTTTAGCAAAGGACTTGATTATTATGCATGACACATCACCATCATGATTGTCTAACATATTTATGCCAAACTTATTTTCAAATCTCCCCAGTAATGACAGATTTGTTGACCAGACATGACCATCAATGCACTTTAAAAATACAATATCATGACTTTGAAATATATGTGTGACCCTGATCTTTTGAGCTGGAGACCTAATTCTTGAGAGTGACACATCATCATGATGTACAAAACACAAAAATTTATTTCAAACCCATCAAGGAATTACAAAATTGTTTACCAGGCATGCACTTAAGTGCAGTTTTATGTAAAATTTATATCATGATTTAATGGATGTACACATATGACCTTGACCTTTGAACTTCAAAACAAATATGAAATGAAATGGATATTGAGTATGGAAACAAGAGCAGTATGAAAGACAGTACATTTTCCTATTCTTTACACATGATAGCAAAACAAGAGTATGTATTTAGTAGGTATAAATATAGAGGAAGATATCATTTAAAATACGTAACACAGTATCAACATGTGTTGAAATTTGACCTACAATTATCATGTAAAGCTTCAAGCCATACCTTAGGAAGATTTATGATGTATCAAAAACTTTAACCAGGACTTTTCTGATTTCACAAAGGGACATAATTCAGTCAGAATGCTAATGCTAGAGTTGTAGGCCTTAGATAGTGACCTTCAATTATGATCTCAAAACATGTGTGAAATAACAAATTAATTTCTTTAAAAGAGTTGCTGATAGATAAGAAGTTTACAAGAAGTTTTGCACACTTAACTGAAAAACAAAGTGTTATGCTGAGACATGGGTAAGTAGCATAGACCTACTATTCTTCAAAAAGTTAAGCTTAATATTGATGTGGACAACAGGCATTACAAAAAGCTTACCATCAGGTAAAACTTATTTAGATTTTATAATATGCTATATGCTTACTGTGTTGGGGATTTATGATTTCTTTAAAAATAATCATGCATTCACTTAAATATTACAACAAAATACAAGTTAAAAGAACATATAAATGGTAAGCATGTATTAAACACGTTTAGCAAAAAAACACAACATTTCACATAAACTAATAAATTTACAATATGGAATGGATGTATTTATGTAATATGTAAGATATTAAATATTCTGAATTAATCATCTGAAAAATCTGTTCACAAGTTTTTATTTTCAGAAAGGACACATATCCTAATTCACTCTGATCCATGTACAAGATGATAACAGAAAGTTCAATGGTTTCAAAATGTCAAGAACTCATAAAAACATTATTTAAGACCCAAACACAATAGGCTTTTAAATAATAATACAATTATTGAATAACTGATAAGGTTGTATATACTACTATTTATATTGTATTCATTAAAAAGAAATCTTCACCTCTGTACACAACCTGTAACTCTGCATGTTTGCATCCTGTATGTATAAACATGTTATTTAGACAAACAGAATTAAATCTGAAGCATTTCTGAACAAAAATTTCTAAACATTGAGGGGAGTTAAACTTAAAATCATTAAAGATGATATGTAGTCCCAATCAATGTAACATGGCTATAAAAAGTCAGTAAATTTGTGTTGAATTAAAATTGATGAAGAACAAAAATCTAAGCTAACTCACCCATATTAGCAGAATACTAGTGTTTAGATAGTCATTTATAAAAATAAAACAGAAGTAGTGTCAAATAAAGAACAATGAATTTTATAGTTTACATATGGATTGACATACTAAACAGTAATTCCTTAGTCCAAGCCCTAACATGTCTTTTATTTTCTAATATAATATTCTTGGACTGCACTTTTGATGAAATAATAAAAATAATATATAAAATATACTAATTTTACTTTACAAGTTTGATCACAATTTCCATAAAGAATTATTTCGGGGGAATAATGCACATAAAAAGTGCATTAGTGCTATTATTTCATAAATGTCTGATTCAGTACTTCCACAGCTGATGTGATGTCTTGATGTCACATGACCCACCATGTTCATTCTCAATCAGGATATCATTACATTAAAATCCAATCTACAGAGTCCAGTCATAATCTAGAATATAACTTGGCTTTAACAGACTTTTATCTTAAACTGACCAATCAAAATGCAGCCTTCTTTCACTGGTCTCCTGTCACACCATTGTCACTCTTTGAGCAATATTTGAATTTAAGGAGCATGCCTCAGTCTATATGTTGATGTTCTTGCCACAGTACTCTAACCCTGTTTATCCACTGTTGTCCCTTGTTTGACTTGACAAACATACATGAACTACAGAATATTACAAACAACCATGAAACTAGCAGGAGATAATCTGGTTCATCTGTTGGTACACTTGGTACAGGACCTAAATAGTCAGCCTCTGTAACATTTACTGTACTGTTTGCCTCTACACCTGTAACATACAATCAACAAAAAGTCTACTTAAATTATATCAAAACCTTGCTGACAAATTGAAATTGATCATCAAATTATAAATACAATATTACTGGATAACATACTCTGTTCTCATTAGGCAAAGGTTGTAATAGTAAAATATAATAAACTAGAAATGTGTCCATAGGACACGGGTGCCCCCACATTCCACTGTTTTGTCAATCTACTGACTCTAGGTCAAATGTTTTTGGGCTACATGTGACACAAGTTAAAAACTGAAAATCTTTTACTTACAAAAACTGTACAAATACTGAATAAATCCACAAGCAAACCCAAAGGTGCATAACTACATATGCTCAAACAACATTCTTGAATACTTTCAGGACTACGGGTCAAATAATTTTTGAGCTATGCATGAACAAGTCTATAATTTATACTAAGTCAAGGGAAATAAATCCACATGCAAAACCCCAGGTGCATAGCTTCATAGTGATGTCGATCATCATTCCTGTAAAGTTGGTTGATTCTAACTCAAGCACTCAAAGAACACATAACAACATTTTGGAATGTTTTTTCTAAGTCAATGGCAATTACTCTACAAATACTAAATAAATCCACAATCAAACCCCCATGTGCACAACTACATATGCCAACCAACATTTCTGTAAAGTTTCATGTCTCTAGGTCAAATACTTTTTGAGCTACATGCGACACAAGTTGAAAATTGCAATTTTACAAAATCAAGGGCTATTACTCTACAAATACTGAATAAATCCACAACCAAAATCCCTGGTGCACAACTACACATGCTGACCAACATTCCTATAAAGTTTCTAGGTCAGATACTTTTTGAGCTATGTGCGACACAATTTGAAAATTGTAAATTTTTACTAAGTCAAGGGCCATAACTTTGACAAAACAGAATAAATCCATAAGCGAAATGCCAGGTGCACAACTTTACATGCTGAGCAACATTATTGTAAAATATCATGACCCTAGGTCAAATACTTTTTGAGCTATGTGCGACACAAGTTAATAAATTGCATTTTTACTAAGCCAAGGAAAATAACTGAATTAAACCACACATAACCACCCAGGTGCACAACTACACATGCTGATGACATTCCTTTAAAGTTTCATGACTCTAGGTAAAACATTTTTGAGCTACGTGCGACACAAAAAAGAGAACAGACGGAAGGACAGTTGGATGGACAGACAAACAAGCATAAATCTAAATCCCCCTACTGGGGGCACAAAATCCTCCACCCCCCCCCCCCCGTAGTGGGGGCACAAAAATGTAAATTTTTACTAGGTCTAGGGCAATTACTCTACAAATACTGAATAAATCCACACACAAACACCCAGAAGCACAACTACACATGCTGATGAACATTCCTTTCATGACTATAAGTCAAACACTTTTTTCAAACACTTTTTGAGCTATGTGCAACACAAGTTGAAAATTGTAAATTTTTACTAAGTCAAGGGCCATAATTCTGACAAAACATTATAAATCCACAAGCAAAACCTCAGGTGCACAACTTCACATCATTCTTGTAAAGTTTCATGACCCTAGGTCAAATACTTTTTGAGCTACATGCAACACAAATTGAAAATTTTTACTAAGTCACAGGCAATAACTCTACAAATACTGAATAAATCCATACACAAACACAAGGTGCACAACTACACATGATGACAAATGTTCCTGTATAGTTTCATGACTCTAGGTAAATTACTTTTTGAGCTACATGCGACACAAAAAAGAACAGACAGACAGATGGACACTGGTAAATCTAAATGAGCCCCCTATAGTGGGGGCACAAAAATTGTCTGAGATATCATAGAACAAATACTGAACTTTCACTTCCTTGAAGTATGAAAGAAAACAGCAAGACATAAACAAGATGTTTCTTAATATAAAACGGCATCAGCAAAACTTTTACAGAAAGATAAAATAAAGTTGTATGAGAAAAGAATAGCTATCAATTTCCACAATTGATTTTTTTGCAAACTGATGTACATTGTTACTATAAAAAAGTATTTTAAATTTCAATTGAATATCTCAAGCAATAATTGAGATATTTGACTTTACAAAAAACTTTAACCAAAATTTCTAAGTTAAAAAGGGGCATAATTCTGTCAATATTGTAGGCAGAGTTATCCAACTTGTCAATCTGATGTACCTTGTTACTATAAATAAGTATTGTAAGTTTCAATTGAATATCTCAAGTAATAATTGAGATATTTGACTTTACAAAAAACTTTAACCAACGCAGACGCCGACGCGGACGCTGACGCGGACACGACTACAATAGCTCTCATATTCTTCGAATAGTCGAGCTAAAAATCATTATCATTCAAAGTAAATCTTTTAAGTGTATTAAACTATTTATACAAAACAGTTTCCACATAGGTAATAAGATATTGAAAAGTCAAGCTGTCCAAAACTTAATACCTTGAACTTTCTGAAATTACAATGGTATAGTTATGTATTTTCTCATTTTATTTGAATATCTTATTAGTACATGTATCATTTTTTGCAAGTTTCATCCAATAAATTTAAACATTTCTTGAAGCTCAACTGTAAAACTTTGAAACACATTAAAATTATATGAGCCGCGTCATGACAAAACCAACATAGTGCGTCTGCGACCAGCATGGATCCAGACCAGCCTGCGCACCGCGCAGTCTGATCAGGATCCATGCTGTTCGCTTACCTACTCTATTACAAGTAGAGAAACTGATAGCGAACAGCATGGATCCTGATCAGACTGCGCGGATGCTGGTCTGGATCCATGCTGGTCGCAAACCCATTATGTTGGTTTTGTCATGACACGGCTCATATAAACAACTTCTTACTTGCTGAATTGAGCTGTATCTACAGCAACAAAATCTAGTTGAGGAAAAGCTCTAGCCAGTGCATTGTAATGTGGTGCCACCTTAGCACAGAAATGACACCATGGAGCGTAAAACATCACTAACAAACAATCCGTTACATTGTCTGTATCATTTTTATCAAAGTTCAAAAGCTGAAGAAGTTGAGCTGTTGTTATGAGTTTAACTGTGGCATTTGTATTGTCAGTAACATTTTTACCAGTACAATGAAATTTGACTTTTTTACCAGTGTCAGTTGTATTGTTTTCTGTCTCAGTTATGTTTTCCGGTTCAGCTATGGTCACGTTTACTGTCCCATTTTCAATTGTGATATTTTCATTTACAACAGATGCATTAGATAAAGTGATGTTTGTTTTATCTGACAACTTTGGGTAAATTCCATCTTTAAACTCCTCAATAAAAGGATCTAAAATAAATTTCAACCACTGATAAAATGTGGAATTGGATTCAAAATTTGAAGTGTTTTTTGTTAGTTCGTTATTCCCTCCTGTTACCCTGGATTCATCTAGAACTTTTTCATTATCCATGGTAACTGACTGGGTGTTTCTTATCTTTGTATCATGTTCATCCTTGTTAAAAGTCTCTTCAGATTTTAGGTCTAAATTTTCATTTTCACTGTTAACATTATTCTGAATATCAGCTGACGGTTTAGTTCTTAATTCTTCATCTGGTCTTGGATCTGTCTCTTTCCTCCTATCAATATTTGGTTTAACACTGTCATCAGAAGCAGATTCTTGGTTATTTAAAGATTGACTTGGAATTGAGACAACTTTACTGCAAACCTCTTTTTCTTTATCACAGAATTCACTACTTTCCACATTTTCTATGTCTTTATTGAGTTGATTTTCATCGCCCAAGACTTCATTTCTTTGGGTTATGCTAAGAACTTCATCATTTGAATCTTCTTTGTTGCTTGTTTCAACTGTCTTCAGTATATTATCAGTTTCTTCTTGACTTCTTGCATTTGAAATCAACAGCAAAAGTATACCTAAAATACATATATCAAATATAACCATCATATAATAATCATTCACATTGTGTTCATACAAACAAACTTATTCCATCTGAAATGGAATTCAATATTCTTTTGATTAATCATTTGCACCAAATTTTCATTCATTGTGATAGAAAATGTGAGTCTGCAATTTTTACTTCATACTGTAGTTATTGAGATACCGGCTTAACCAAGAATTTCTAAGCCAAAAAAGGGGTATATTAAAATATGCAATATAGCAAATCAGAGTTATGGTACTTGTGCCAATCAAGTTAGATAATCACAGGAACCAAGTGTGTGAAGTTTCAATCCATTCCATTCAGTAGTTATGGAGATACCAACTTACACTTAAAAACTTAACAACAAATGGGTGACTGCATTAGCTCAAGTATTCTGAGAATAGTTGAGCTAAAAAGTCTGTAAAATCATTTTAATGGGTCAAACCGTTCAAGCCGAACTAATTAGGCCTACTGGTAAGGGACCATCAACAGGACACTTTTTGAACATTTTTCCAAACAGATTTCATAATTTTAAAGCTAGAGATCTGAAAATTTGACACAGAACAGCTAGTTTGTTTGTTTCTGATTATGTTGACACTTACATCTGGGGCCCATCAATGAGGGTATCACAATTACCTAAATTGTTCCAGGGCCAAAACACCATTTTTGGGGAAGGGGCCTCAGCCTTTTTCTTGGGGAAAATATGCGTGATTTTGGCATACTTTGGGAAAAGGGGTCTCAAATTTAACACAAACATTTAACAAGTTCTTGAAAATAGAAAAGCAAAAAAGCACTGGGAAATACTAATAAGGCAGTAAAAGACCTTAATTCAACGCCAAAATTTAATTTTGTTCTAGATTCTATGGAAAATTTAAAAAGACTGGGGAATTTTCAGGACCAAACTGGGGAAAAAAATAGGCTAGTTTGGTTGGGGAAGCAGCCTATATTCGGCCTCTACAAAGAAGGGTTTTTTGGCCCTGTGTTCATACTACAGTACCATGGGTTTGGACAGATATATATTGGCATTTTATTCAATAAAAGCTTGGGTGTTTTAATTTTTTATTTTTAACATTTTATACAATATTTCAGCAACAAATGCTGAAGGTTTGGATATTTTTTACTCTTTTGTTTACTCTGCAAATGATTAAAGCTGGTATATGAGGTCAGGCATAGCTTTCTTGACCCCCAAATTTCTATATCAACATACTTGAAATAGATTTATTTACTTAATTTAGAAGAAACATGCATTTATTGTTGATAAAAGAGTGATTGATAACCACCAAACAAAGAAAACACTAAATTAAGCATTTTTAGGGCCGTTCGTGTTTGGTGGTTGTCCGGTTTTGGTGGACCCCAACCAGTGTCCCTAATTTGGAAAAAATGATTACAAAATTGTGGGAAAAAAAACAAAAACAACAACATGTCATCATCATGTGCAATTAAATTTTAAAATTTTATGACAGATGGTGAATTTGGTATCATTGTGCCAATGCTAATGACACAAACGGTAAATAAATCAGATCAGAGAAATTGTGTTTAATTATAATACCAACAGTGAACTAATAGATATAGAGCTTCTGTACTTTTGTCTTGCATGGGAGGGGTAGACAGACGTTTCACTATTGAGACTGTTCACACCAAGACAGTTCACACCAAGACGTTTCACTCCCATTTGGGAGTGAAACGTCTTGAAGACGTTTCACTCCCTTTTTATACCAAAATTATTTTGATACTTATGATATACTAAAACAGACCTAAAAATTTGAATTGAATTGAACTAAAATAGACCTTAAATTTAATAAAAAAATAAATTAAAAAGGGGGGATTTCACTTTTTTGTCAAGTACTTTAAGTTCTATCATTTCAGTTATCTTATCTTCTTTATTGTTGTTTTGAAATAAGGTATTTTTCTATTCTTGGATCCATATGTGCAATTATCACATTATTTCACTTGAAGAAAAAATATTTTTGATTAAAATAACACTTTAATATAACTTAACTATTTGATCTTTAGTACACATGGACTCATTAGGCAATTTTAATTTAAAGCATTCTTGTGATAACAATTAACTTTGAGTAACATGTTTTTTTTTGTTTTTTTTTGGGAATGAAAAATTGTTAAATTATTTAATGCTAGTATAGTGTTTTTGCGATATATGTCAAAAATTTTAATGGCCATTGAAATCAGAAAAATCTTTAAATTGAATTAGAAGCATTGGGACTTTTTCAATATTTGCCATGTAGAATCATTTTTTGTGACTAAAATTCATATTATATAAATATAAACAAAACTTATGGAGAAGTTTCTGTGTTTAAATTGGCTGTTGTCAAAAAATATTTTAATGGTCCGATAAACAACTGATTAGTAAACTGTTGATGCTGAAGTGCAGTGTTTATACAACTGATTAAATAGTGGTGTCAAACTGTTAGTTGATGGTATCAGTGTTTATACAATGAGATAACACCACAATTACTTAAGTTTGTTTAATGGCTACTGTTTAATAAATTGATGTAGAAATTAATTTTAAAATATAATTTATTTTATACACATGTTTCCCATTTCATTGTTTAAGACTTACAAAAAATAATCATTATATTTAATATATTGATATTTTTTTATTATTTGAATATTATTAATTGCTTTACTGGTAGTGATACTAATACTTAAAGTATGTCTTTTTGTTCTTTTTATGTTATTCTATTTTTTTTTAATTTACTTTAAATAGAATTTTCTCATGTTGTTACACTTATAATAAAAGTGATTTTTCAGAAATTTGTCTTTCATTTACACCTCTTTTAACTCAACCCATAATTAAATGAGTAATCTTCTAATAATTCGTATTAACAATCGGGATACCATTGAAATCAACAAAATGAAACATTAAATTGAATTTCCTTTTTACTTTGTTTGATATTAATGAAATTAAAATTTGTTAACTTTCCTACTAAACATCTCTAAAAATTGGGAGTGAAACGTCCATACAATTGACAAAATGGGAGTGAAACGTCTAGGTGTGAACCGTCTTGGGAGTGAAACGTCTCAATAGTGAAACGTCTTGGGAGTGAAACGTCTGACATTCCATGGGAGGTAACTCTTCAAGTCTTCAATTGAGTTTTAACCGATTGTTACGTTCAATGTTAGCGAATGGTTTGAAACTAAATATATGAATGGAAACAGATGTAAATAACCTGTTTTATTAAAATACATGAATAAATACAACAAAATAATTAGCCCTTACTGCATTTCGCAACAAAGTTTATTGCTCCCATTTTATTGACACTCGCTGGTCGCATCCATGTTGGATATCGAGCCAAGTTGACTATGCATCGGTGTTTCTGATTGGTCAATTAATATCAGTTCATGGGAAAAACCAATGATTGCTTTCGTGACGACCAAACACATGTGCTCAAAAGACACAGGGAAGGTAACACACCCACTGGACTTTATTCATGAATTTTGTGAATTAAACGAGAGTATTAACTAGAATTTGAAATGGATAACTCACATCTTGATCCGGCAAATATGACATATTTCTTCCCATTCGAGAAAACTCACGATGAGCGTGCGTTTGATGACTACATGCATCAACACTGGGCTGACAGTTTTGTGTATTCCAGTGTGTACCTAATTGTGGTTTTTGGATGTCAACTTTATATGGCACATCGTAAGAGATTCGAATTAAGACCATATTTAGCACTTTGGAGTGGACTCCTTGCTATCTTCAGTATAATTGGCGCGATGCGTACTATTCCAGAACTGATTTGGTCGTTGTCAATGGGGTTTGAATATTCTTGTTGCAGCAGCTCTTACATGGGACAAGGAAAGGTTACTAGCTTTTGGACATATCTTTTTGTGGTTTCTAAATTGTTTGAACTTGGAGACACTATATTCATTGTCCTTAGAAAGCAGCCTTTAATTTTCCTCCATTGGTACCATCACATGAGTGTATTGGTATATTCGTGGTATAGTTATCATGAAAGAATTTCCACAGGCAGATGGTTCATCGTAATGAATTATTCAGTTCATTCAATGATGTACAGTTATTATGCCCTTCGTGCCATGAGATATCAATTTCCTAAATGGGTGAATATGGCTATAACATCGCTTCAACTTGTACAAATGATTGTTGGCATTATTGTAAATATTGTTGCATTTAATGCACTTAATGCTGGAAGAGAATGCAGCAGTAGTTACCAAAACATTAAATACTGCATGATCATGTATTTTAGCTATCTTGTGCTATTTTCACATTTTTTCTACACAACCTATATTGTTAAGAAGCCAGCAGTTCATGAAAAGAAACATTGATGACAGTTTTTTTTTAGATTTGGCATTTATTCAATTTGCATCATAGTGCTTCACAATATTCATTACCAGTGATATTGCAAAGACTTTTGTATTTAAAGTAACATCATTATATAATAAGGAACTTAATTACAAGAATCACATTATAACATAAATGATTCTGAAGATACTGTGCAATTAGAAAGTGCTCAACATTTGACCTGAAAACACTTAAATGTGATATTAAACATGTTACCAAGGAGATAGACCACTGACAATAATGCATCAACCTAGCCAATTAGAACTTTTGAAACTCATCATGTGAAACTGGAAATGAAAATATAAAGAATTATAAAAATTTCCTTTGCAAATAAATTAAGGGACCAATATGATAGATTTTTTCCAGGGAATATAACTGTTTCAAATTGCAAGAAGAGCGTTGAAATTTAATATTGTAAGTGTTAGGAAATGAAAATGGATGTATAAGAAAAAGAAGGCTATTGCTTGAATAAGTTTTATACATTTTGAAGGTTTTATAAATTCAGTTATTTATTTAGTTACACAATTACATTTAATGTTTTAGACAGTAACTTACATTATTTTTTAACTTATTTAATGTACTTTTATGTACAACTAGGTCTTTGTTAGTTTACACATACGTCATGACATGTGTATATTATCAAATTTGTTATATCAGTATATCAGTATATATACATGTATGTGTTATATATCTGTTTATACATTATGTTTAATAATTCTATCAAGGATTGAATACCTTTTTTAAGTTTTATTTTATTGTAGATCATGTTTTAAGAGAATTATGTTAAATGTTAAGGATTAGCATAAATTTCAGATTTGATACATTGTCTACAAAACCAGAATTATCTATTCAAACATTGTTTGAATTTTTAACTGTTAACTTTGTTTGTTGTCAAATGATATGGTTCTCAATTTTAAAGATCAATATAATATATATATATATAACTGTTTAAAAAATTATATATTTTAAAGTTCTAAATTTATTAGAGGAAATTAAATGTGAAGATTTTACCATGGGTTTAATTACAGCTATGACTTTACCCAGTCCTTGTACATTATTACTTTATTATGATATGTTTAATAGTCAATCCATCTTTGTGTTCTGTAAGTTATTTTTCAAAATAATCCATATGAGTCTGGTCGACCGTCTATTTAAGTGAAAGTTGTTTATCTAAAGTAGCTAGCTCAATCTAAATTTGTCACAGATTGGTTAAATGACTAAATGTGTTTAATTATATACATGTACATGCAATAGTTCAAGTTGTGTCTTAAAATAGTTGATAGGAAGTATAACATTTTCTGATACATTAAAGCCAGTTTTGCCAAGAGGATTTTAATGATTTTAGTTCCATATTTATTTATCTTTCATTTACATATCATGTTCTATGGTATAATTATCTTCAGTTAACAGTCATAGTATTATGGGTAGATAATGTTTAAAAGCATTATATATAATTTTAAATTGTGTCTGTGCATCTATTTTTAGTTGTTAGATATTGTGAAATTGAGTATTGGTGAGTTTATAATACATGTACTTAAATTGGTTATATATGTATTTCTGTTCATCCAGGATTTTGATTTTATGAAGAAACTACATTGTATATATGTATGAGAAGTGGCAAAATTTGATGAGTATTCACAAAGTATGAGGCTTTCTGAATAAATTATTATATAGGTATTTCACCTGCTAGAACAGTTACATGACCTACTATTTGACCTTTTAAACTGCTTTTATTTTACATAATATTTGTCATGAAATAGTTTCAGTATTTACACAACCAGGCACATGATAGCCCTGATAAATGTTTGACCTGACCAAGTGCAGAACAGATTATACATTGTATTTAAACAATTCAATTTATTTCAATTTTATCTTTTTGCATTGGAAAATCTGGAAAAAAGAAGCAGTTAAAAACGAAACTTGACATGTTAAATTAGAATATTGGGTCTGTAGAGGAGATAATTGTAATGAAGTTAAAACTGTTAAATATGTACAGAAAATCACTATTTTGATAGTTAGGACAAATGTACCCTACTGATAAGAAAACTTGGTCACCATGATCTTTACCACCCTGAGCTGGTGTGTATCAGTGTGGGACTTTTTTGATAAACTGTAGCTAGATATTGATTACTGGAATACTTTTTGAAATACATGTACAAGTGAGGCGCGTCATGACAAAAGCAACATAATTGGTTTGCGACCAGCATGGATCTAGACCAGCCTGCGCATCCACACAGTCTGATCAGGATACATGCTGTTTGCTATCAGTTTCTCTACTTGTTACAGGGTTTGTAAGCGAAAAGCATGGATCCTGGTCAGACTGCGCAGGCTGGTCTAGATCCATGCTGGTCGCAAACGCACTATGTTGGTTTTGTCATGACACTGCTCATGTAGTTTTTTTGATGACATTTACTTCTTTGTTCTAAAATATTACATCATAAAATGTACATAGAATGAAATGTTTGGTTTTAAAGAATAACAGACTCAAACATAGTGCTCAACTACAGGGTTGCCATGTAGCATTTTTAAGTTAAACTGCACATGTATATGTTCAGTATTTTTTCTATACATTTCCAATCAAAATCTATTTGATGTTAAAACATGGTAATAAAAGTTGTTAGTGTTTTTTTTAATGGAAAATATTTATCAATTTTGTGTTTTACAGAACATTTTTTCTTAAATGTGTGTGTACTATGTACAGTACTATTTAGCAATTAATACTTGTATGTATTGTTATACTTCATGCACTGTTTAGGAGACATTTGGTTCTACAAATAATGATCAATGGAAGAAGGTTCACTAGTCTCTGTATTTCATCCATTATTCACATTAAGTTTATTGATTTTTGAGAAACCATTTTCTAAGGTGCATATTACCATTTGCTTTCATTTGGATGGGAGTATGGGAATCAATATTTATTTGTCTGGTTATTTCGCATCATTCCAGGACAGTTGTGAATTACACACAGAGCATAGTAATCCACTTTCTGGATATAGAGATCCTAACAAAACCAGTAAATAACAAAACAAGTATATAATCAGCAAAAGGCATATTAATTGAAACTGTTCTGATGTATGTGATCATAACATTGTTAGTGCACTGAGGTTATCCCAACATTGTTAGTGCACTAAGGTTATTGCTACCTTTTTTGTCAATACATCAAGGTTATCATAACATTGTTAGTGCATCAAGGTTACCGCAGCATTGTTATTGCACCAATGTTATCATATCATTGTCATTGCATCAAGGTTATCGCAACATTGTTAGTGCACCAAGGTTATTGCTATATTTATACCCCCACCACAAAATGTGGGGGGGGCTATAATGGATTCGCTTTATCGCGTCAGTCGGTCGGTCGGTCGGTCCGTCCGTCTCCATTTTCGTGTCTGATCTATAACTCCTATACCACTTGAAGGATTTTCTTCAAACTTGGCTCAAATGTTCACCTCAGCAAAGGGATGTGTGGAACCCATGTTGCCCATGTGTCAGCTCAAGGTCAAGGTCACAATTGAAGGTCAAATATCAAACACAATCATATATTAGACAGTATGTCGTGTCCGCTCTGTAGGTCCTACAATAATTAAAAGATTTTCTTCAAACTTGGCTAAAATGTTCACCTCAACAAGGGGATGTGCAGAACTCATGTTGCCCATGTGTCATTTTAAGGTCAAGGCCACAATTTAAGGTCAAATATCAAACAATCAAATATTACACAATATGTCATGTCCGCTCTGTAAGTCCTACACTAATTGAAAGATTTTCTTCAAACTTGGCTCAAATGTTCATTTCAACAATGGGATGTGCAGAACCCATGTTGCTCATGTGTCAGCTCAAGGTCAAGGTCACAATTGAAGGTCAAGTATCAAACAATCAAATATTACACAGTATGTTGTGTCCGCTCTGTAAGTCCTACACTTATTGAAAGATTTTCTTCAAACTTGGCTCAAATGTTCACCTCAACAAGGATATGTGCAGAACCCATGTCACTCTTTTGCCGGCTTCAGGTCAAGGTCACACTTGAAGGTCAAAAATTGACTTAGAAAATGTTCTTTAATTTTAACATATATCTGAATATTTCTGAATCTAGGCAAGGTATTTGCTTGAAACTTAAAATATAAATGAAGTGACACAATTAAGATATGCTGGTCAAGTTTCATAACTCTGTATTGCATTTTAACAAAGTTATGCCCCTTTTTAATCTTCAAATTTACATACAATCACATATTAGACAATATGTTGTGTCCGCTCTATAAATCCTATACTAATGGAAGAACTTTCTTCAAACTTTTCTCAAATGTTCACCTAAACAAGGTTATGTGCAGAATCTATGTCACCTTTGTGCAGACTAAAGGTCAAGGTCAGACTTGAAGGTCAAAAAATGACTTAGAAAATGTTCTTAGATTAAAACATGTTCTTGAATACTTCGGAAACTAGCATAGGTATTTTCTTGAAACTTAAAAGATATATGAGGTGTCACAATTACAATATGCAGGTCAAGTTTCATAACTCTGTATTGGATTTTGACAAAGTTATGCCCCTTTTTAAGTCTTTAAATTTACATACAATCAATACTAGACAATATGTTGTGTCCGCTCTATAAATTCTATACTAATGGAAGGATTTTCTTCAAACTTTACTCAAATGTTCACTCCAATTGGGCGATGTGCAGAACCCATCTTACCCTTGTGCCAGCTGAAGGTCAAGGCCACACTTGAAGGTCAAAAATTGACTTATAAAAAGTTTAGTATATTGGGAAAATGAAAGGTTATTTGTAACTGTTTCGAACATGATTTGATAATAGATATTTTTACTATTATCTGTACAATTAGTCTTTTTTTCACCAGAGATAATTTCTTTTTATGTATTTGTGTCACTTAAGTTATTCCCTTAACCACCTTTCCAAGTTGTCTTCTGTCAAGGACATTGGTGGGGGTATGAATCGCATTCAGCGATAGTTCTTGTTTATTTTTGTCAATGCATCAAGGTTACTGCAACATTGTCATTGCACCAATTATCATAACATTGTTAGTGCACAAAGGTTATCATATCATTGTCAATGCATCAAGGTTAACATAAGATTGTCAATGCATCAAGGTTATCAGAACATTGTCAATGCATCAAGGTTATCATTACATTATCATAAGATTGTCAATGCATCAAGGTTATCACAACATTGTCAATGCACCAATGTTATCATATCATTGTCAATGTATCAAGGTTATCATAACATTGTCAATGCATCAAGGTTATCACAACATTGTCATTGCACCAAGGTTATCGCAACATTGTTAGTGCACCAAGGGTATAACAGCATTGAGAACATTCACCCTGTCTTTCACTTATTTTGTGAACATTTTAAGAAAACAAAGTACATACTTATTTATTAACCATTTAATACATGCAAAGATCTAAGGTAAGGGTAAAGGGGGAATTGACCCTCTTGGTATTTGTCTAGTACATGTATGCCAAATCCCTTCAACAAAGTTTTTTTGTAATGAAAATGTTTAATCATGGTAAAACTAGTGAAAATTTTAATCATGACCCCCTCTGGAATATGCATTTCCCCTAGTTAATTTTTAGACCCCCATCTGCCCAACCCAAACTCCCCTTCCCCCCCCCAACCCCCCAACCCCCTTTGGAAAAAATCCTGGATCTTCACCTATATGATACATACACTATTAAGCAGTATTGTCCAACATACTAGGTTTCAGGTATTGAATTTTATTGTAATGGAAGATTAATGTCAGCAGAATATTAAAGAGAAATAGCACTGGCTATAATATTTAATGTACTTTATGGTGTATACATGTATAATACAACATGACAACAACAGGGAAAACGGATGACAATGTAATATCTAGTTTGAATATATACAGAGAGTTTATACTTCCTGGGGTTATAGTGAGTGAACCTGTGACAAGATCACGTACTTCCTGTATTAAGTACAATGAATTAAAATTATACAGGGTAAGTATAATGTCCAACATTTTTTCTAGGAATTAATGATTGAAAACCTTGTACATAGCATTAACATTTCCAGGAATAAGACTGAGAGAAAAGTAGGGTTAAATAGAAAAAAAAACACTTGTGAATTTTAGGAAATTTCACGATTCAGTTAAATGGAGAATCTTTCAGCATCTTTATTGATCCAGGAAGAAATTCAAGAAATCGTGGTATAAACCATATTCACATGTCAAGTCTATGGCATTTGAATTATTTTTCCCCTCCCTCAATAACTAGATATATTTCTGAAGAAATGCAAATGATTCAATTTTACATTTTCTGAATTTGACCTGCCTTTATAACTGTATAATGTTTTTGTTTTTCTTTTTTCCAGAATTTAAAATCCAATTTAAATTTTCTATTTTATTCTATCAAGTGAGTAATACAATGTACTTTCTTTTGTAAGATATGGTAATAGGTAGAACAATGTTACATGTCTCCAGTGTGAGGTATAGAGAACTTGCCTTATTTGTTGCTTTTGTTGATGTAAAAATTAACATTTTAAGCACAATTTTATGAAACAATTACTTGCATATATATATAACTACTGCAAATTTTACAAAACATATAACCTTTGAAGTATGGAAGATATGTACATGTTTAAATGTACATGTCATGTATGAGTGTTTTTAAATATGGTGTGGAACTGTGGATGTATTTTATTGTAACATATTTTTTATGTGTCTATGTTTTATTGCAACATTCAGGGTAAAATTTGTCCCACCCTAATACTTAGATATCCACAACTTTAAAATTTTAAAGTATTACATGTGATCTGTATTATGGTAAATTTACATATGTGTGGGTGTATGATATTTTCATTATATAATGGATAAATTTCTTTGTTGAATTAATACACTATAATGTGATTAACTACTGCAAAAGTACATAGCATACATGTATATTGTATACTTACAACTTTATATACATGATTATGTTCACATTTACCGCCTTATGATTTAGTAACAATATATTGTTGTTATTATTTTCTGCATCATTAGGAAAAAAATACTAGAAAATGTTTTTAGAGCAAAATTATTTCATTTTGGTCACCTTTTTGTGTAATAGTTAAAAGTATGATTAACTTACGACTTCTTTGGGAATTTAGAAAGTGGCATTTTGTGAAGATTTCCAGAAATTTAATGTTATTTGATACAATTCAATTAAATTGAAATCTTGAAGTTTTAAATCTCATTGATAAAATTTATCTGCTCTGAACAAATTGGAATTTTAGTTTCACAGAATGTGAAGATTTTATTCTTCATGAATGCTTCACTGTGACAGAGTGGGGTAATCAATACCAGTCTGAAGCCATTCACAAACACCCAATATGTATTAATCTTTTATAACATGGTCATGTTTTATTGTTGACAGGTCAATATCTCTACAAACAAATTATTCCCTGTAAATGACTAACTATACAATTCATCTTACACTAACAGAGTATGGTGTCAAGAATTGTCAGTCATTATACTTAATCAAGAAAAAATTAATAAATGTGGAGAGCAATATTGTATTAATCAATATCTAGAGTATGCATAATCTAACATCCAAAGAAATATTATCACTTTAAAGCATAATCTAATTTCTTGTCAAAGTTTTAAGATGTATTTCAGGGAATCTATAAGTTTTATTAAGATTTTCAAGAAAAGAAGTGTTCCTGGTGAAGGTGAAAGTGTCTGTCTATCTGTCTGTCTGGATATTGCTTGTCTTGTAAAATATGGAAAAAAAGAATAAAACTTGTTTTGTGTTCCATAATAGTTAAGAAAATGGCAAGGGATAAAACTCTCTAGGTTACCACCAAAAGGCAGTTAAGGCACCATGGAAAATGTTGGGTTTAAATGGAGTAATATATTTAATATAACCAAAGTAAACGTGTCCTAATAGCTTCAATTTTATGAATGTTTCTGACTTTTTTATTGCAAGTTTTCTAGACTTTCATTTGTTTGAAATTATTATTTTATTTTTAGCTCGAATTTTTTTAAGAAAAAAAATTGAGCTATTGCTACAGTCATGTTGCCATTGCCATTGCTGTAAGCAAGCATTTATATTGGTTATATTTGTTTCTTCATTTCTTTAGGTCTTTAAAGATGTCAAATTGAACTTGACCTTTACTCATAATGACCCTGACATTGGAAGGTCAAGTAATTGAATTTTGCTTGAACTGCTAAAACTGGCTATTAACTTTATTGTTTGTTGATGGCTTGTTTTCATCGTTGGACTTTTAAGTTTTTGTTATTTGCTATTAATGATAATTTAATGAATTGATTATCTTCATATTTGGACAAAACAATGCTTAGGTCAAGACCTTTTTAATTACATTAATTACATCATGTACACAAAAAAAATGGTGTTGTCTTTAAAAGTCTTTCACCACAATGTTTTTCCTCCGATGTGTTTACCTTTGGAAATAAAATGTAGGAAAAAAAGTTGATCGTGGCCCACACTTTTCGTGGTTCTTGTTCATATTTGTTTTTGTATAATTAATATATTTGATTTGTTAATTTGTTTTTCTTTGATATTATATGAAGTATATTGAAACACTATACATTGTTTTTGTATGGGAGAAATAAAAAAAAAGTAAATTAAAAAAAGTAAAACTATAATCTGCTTTTATTTATTTTTTATCAGCAAAAAACATGGAATGGTATTAATGAAACATGCATTGTGTTCTTTATAGGAAAGCATAGAGCTGTTCTAATCTAATTGGATTGCAGGTATAATCAAACAAGGTAACAGCTGGTGAGAAAGTGGTAATAATTTACACTAGTTAATGCCACCAGTATAAATCCATGTTTACTCAGCTATCCAGTGTGACCATACTGTATAGTTTAAGCTGTTGAACTATTTCAGTGGCTCATTTCTGAGAACATCTAACATCATACAATAATGTAATGTTAAGCAATGACTGTAATTATTAGAAAAGGTCTTAAAACACTCTTGATCAGTCAGTTGACAAAATATCACCGTAATAAAAGTAAGCTGTTCCTTTACAAGTTGTTACACTCGAGTCACTTTTTTATGAAAGTAATATTAAAATACTTTAGACTTATTTACAGAGTAAAGCATCATAAAATTGTTATTTCAGAATAAAATGTCCAGGTCAAGGTCCATTTTCAAAATGATCAAATATTAATGGTCTTTACTGAATACAGCTGCTGTTGATGACCGGGTCAAGAAGGGGTCATTGGTAGTCCTTTTGAGTTTTGGGAATGACTTCACAACTTTTCTGTTCAAGGTCAACAAAAACTGAATACTTTAGCTCCTTTTGTAAGAAGTATTTTCATTAAACACATGTGAATGGGTGAAACAATCAACTTTATGTGAAAATTTTGATTTATTTAAGCAAAATAATTAGATTGCTTGATGCTTTATCCAGATTTCATCTAGATTATACCATGAAGGTTTTTATATTCACCTTTAATTTTTAATTAAATGATTTAATTATCTAATAAAATATTGAAACAGCTGTGTTGTTCCTCAGTCTGGATCTATAACTGGGTCAGTTTGTCCAATTTTCTTGTAATAAGAAATAAATAGTTACGTGTAATAATACTATTTTTATGGTGTTTCAAGATTTTAATTGATATATACATGAATGTCTTCCATTAAACATAAGTGGCCCAAATAAACCAGCCTTAATTCATTTCTGATATATTGGATTCAATAAATAAGATAATTTTAGTATATTATTATTTGCATACTTTACTTAAATCCTAAAATAATATTAATATTTTACCTTAAATTAATGACAAAATGACCTTTTATAATGTAAAGAATATTTTGATGTTACAAATTCTAACTCAAATGGATGTCAATTTATTAGATTCTGGTTAACTGTATTGCCTATTGGCTTTGTATCAGATAGTAAATATATTTTCAGTCATATTATGAGGAACATAATACTAATAGTTGTATTCTATGGCATGAGTTATCACTCCAACAAAATTGCTTGTTTTATGACAGTGAAAAGTCAACTTTTAATTCAATAAGAGTATCAAGTCAACTGTATAGTGGAGTAAAAGTATATAAACGTTCCAGATTGACATCATTAGTACAGCCCGCATAGCTCAATCGGTTAGAGCGCGAGACTTGTAATCTCGACATTGTGGGTTCGATTCCCGGGCTGGCCAACTAAAATTACTAATCAGTCTTTCGGATGAGACTTTAAATCGAGGTCCCGTGTATGGGTGCTTAAACACTTGGCACGCTAAAGAACCAGGAGAAGCTTCTGGAATTGGGGCATCTTTCTGTATCTATAATTGCACTATCCTCCAAAAAATAAAATGACTAATACTCTTCTGGAGGACTCGCCCATATGGGCAACTGGTGGCGAGTATAAATAAACGCAAATACACACACACAATCATTAGTACATACCTGTAAAAATGTCACCTGTAAAAGTGTGTCTGATGATTAGATAAAAAAAAAACTTTATATAGAACAGTTTACAAGGTACAGTGATGTTGGTTACATCACTATATATATAGGGTAACATATAGTACTGTTACAGGTAGTAGATACTTGACATATACTGAAGTAGATACATGATTCAATGACCTTGACACACTGAATTTAACATGGGTAATGTACAATCCTTATAATTATAGTGTGTCACCAAGGTAACAAGATACCATCTCAGGTAAAGCATCCTGTAAAATTTATGTGACTTACTACATATATAATACTATAATATAACAAAACCAAAATTTTGATTTGTCATGAATCATGCAAAGATAAAATGACAAGATGTATTTAATTTACCTTAAATTATACCCCCACAAACGAAGTTTAGGGGGGTATATATAGGAGTCAGCTTGTCAGTCGGTCCGTCAACATCATGGTTTCTGGACCATAACTTTAGTTTGGAATGAGGTATTGTACTCAAACCTAGTTTATAGCAACCTTATGTGGAGACCCCGGTTGGTATTGCATTTGGACCCCCTGGTGTTAAGATCAAGGTC